GGCGAGTTTGGCGTTCACTGCTGAGGGGCGACAGTGACAGTTGTTTATTTTCTTCACATCCTGACCCCGCTGCCTGCGTTGCTCCCCCCCGTTCTCCAGCGTTCCAGCTCCGTCCGTTTCGTCCTTAGAGAAGGCTGTCATCCTCACAGAGCGGGCGAGGGGAAGCCAGGTGCCAGGCGAAGTCAGTTCTTTCTCAAGGAGAACCACACAACCACCGCCGGCCCTGCTGCGGCATGCGCAGCCACTCATGCACGGCCCACATCGACCGCTGGCCAGAGAATTAGTATTAAATAATACAGCCCAAGAATTAACAGCCAAATTCATAGGCTGCACTTCTGTTAGGTTATCATGAGCATTTAAAAATTGCAACTGATACTTTTAGGGAAATACAGGTAATAGAAAATAATTTATTTACATTTACATACAGAATGTGACTACTTTCTTTGAGACAGCTTATATGCAATAACAGAGGGCGTGAGCAAAGCAGTCTTATGCCACATCTTGGTAAAAATGCTAAACTTACAGGTGTCTGAGATCTCATAGATGAGACTTTCCATCTTTTCTTACACTCTTCACCATTATAAAACTTTTGTACACAGAACAGAAAGCTGTCTTCTCTCTATTAAAATTAAACTTGTTCTTTAAAAAAAAAAATCCTCTAAAAAAGTGCATGGGATTTAATGCAGGGAAAAAATGTGTAGCCCCAATTAACAAGGTAGATAAGGCACCTTAAATCTTAATAATGAAACAGTTCTTTGTTGTTTTTTTTCCTCGTAATACAAAAGCAAGCTAAAATGTACACAACTAAATGTAGAATGGTCATAATCTCTGAAAGTACTCTGAAAGGGCAATTATTTTATAGCCACTCCTCACAAATATATTTTTAGGCTCTATCAGTGCAAGTGATATCAACATGCCACATCTATCAGGAACTAAACACTTGCATACATGAAATACCTACAAGATATACAATACATAGTGCTTTATGTATAGATTAATCTATTCGATAATGTTTACAGTAAGACAATATTTAGGTAAACATTTCAAGTTAAATGGACTAGTCAAAGCACAAGATACTGCCTGAACAGAAACTGATGGAGGTGGTGGGATTTTTTTGAGTGGGGGGCACAGGGGGGCGGTGACAGTATGGTTTCAAATAAGTTACTTTACACGAGGACTCTCAGTCCCTTTTTCATCCCCTCACGAAGATACTGCTGCTGTGAGCCACATGTGATTGAGAGGCCTGCTAGCACAGTGGTCAACAGGAACTGTAGCTTTTCTGTGTATTTTTCCTTATTGACAAAATTTTAAAGGCTCCTTCAGAAGCCTTGCCAAGAACTCCTGAAAAGGCCAACATTCTCAAACTTCATCAAGTATTTCAAAACTAACTAGATAACTCTATAACAATATTTACCAGTAAATGGTTATCCAGTCCAAAGCTGAAGATAGGTTTCTTGAGAGTGTAACAATACCATTTAAACAGCAGCTTCACTTTCATAATAAATAATTTTTTTTAGGAAGTACCTGCTGGTATTAAAGTAACATGAGAAAAATTTAGACTACTAAAATCTACACACGCATTTTTGTGTAAGAAGCAATTTAAGAATAGTGAAACCGTGGTGATCATCTGACTTTGAGACTGCATGAACCTTGTTACCTTGACATAATCTTCTTGACTAGGCAAGTAAAAAACAAGACTAAAATCTAAAGCTACACCAGCATTATAGCAAATTACAGTACAAGTTGACATGCAAAATGAGGAAAATTCAACTGCTTCAAAGCAGCAAATCCTCAAGGCAAGCGCGTTGTACAGTTGTGGTTTCAACTGAATGCGTTTGTGCTACTTTGCAGAAGGAAAACCAAGGAAGTCGGCAGATACATAAAAGCAAGGAAAAGAGTCAGTATTTATCCCCTTGTTTTCAAATATAGAAGAAAATGAGCATTTATACTACAAAACAATCTCTTCCTACTCCAACAGAGTAGTTGCAAAGACTAACATTATGCAGCATCTTTTAGTAAATGATGTTTTTCTGGTTGTTCTCAATACATATTTAAGGAGCTAAACCCATTTGGCTTCTCAGGTTAAGATCTTCATGTAATTAAAAACTCGTGAAAAATAGGTAATTTGCAGATGCTAATAAAAATACTTGCAGTGCTGAACATAGCTATGTATTTCCTGCACTACTTCCAGTATTTGCATCCTGATCTACAGAGATTACACGACAGGAGTTCATCTCTCCTTCTAACATATTCACATAGCATACTTCACAAAAAGAAGTAAAGAACTTGTACAGCCAGTACCACAAACTTCAGCATTAAAATGTAAAGGGATACTTATCACAAGATTAAGGGTTTTTCAAAGCATTTTTCATTGCACTTTTCAGGAGCCGTCTCATGCACCCATTGTCAGCATCTAAACAAGTGAAACAGAAAGCCTGCAGCTGCTGGTCTGGTCCAATGACGTCAACGTAGTGGTTGAGATTATGTCAACGTTTCAGAAGTATCCAGGTTGCTTACGAAGAAATCCACGTCATCTTTAAGGAACGTAGTAACAACAGCTTCGCTGACAGTAAGTGTGGCATAGTGAGTATCAGAATAAATCAGTACTTTTTAAAAATACTCCTTTCTTGTTGCATTATACTCTCAGATCCTAGGGTCCTAATAAAGCAAATTTGCTATTCTGAATCATCTACTTCCATAAAGATATCACTGAAAAAATACTCAGAGATTCTGGTTGGCTCTTCTTCCTTCTCTTCATCTTTAGCACAAAGGGGTGGCTTCTCAGATGGCTTGTTACTTGAAACCTAACAGAAAAAGAAAAGGCTGCTCTTAACAGTCTTAGTCTGTTTGTATGCATGAGTGTGTGTGTGTATATATATATATTTATATATATGCACCTGAGCTTTCAATTTAGATAGGAAGTTTAGGCAAAAAAGAGTTTAATGAAATGGAAAACAAGCAGATATATGTGCAGAGAGAAAAACAACCACGTTCCCTTATAAGTTTCCTAGATAGGCACTAGTCATGATTTATTCACTGAAGCAGGTATCTTTCTCAAAACACGAGCACTGGATGCCCACCTACCTATTCCTGAAACAACTAATTAACTCGTCTTCACATCTGAAAAATGCAAGGGCATTCAAAAAAGTCAATACGTACCATAACTGAAGCACCAGCAGCTACATTTTCATGCTCGACAGCCAATGATGTGCTTGTAGAGGGAAGGGAACAAGTTTCCCTATCATCCTTGGTGGAAGGAGTGGGTTTTTTTAGACTTCTCTTTGGAGTCACAATCTGAGGTTTCTGGATCTTCCCCCTCTTCCCTTTTGTATCTTCTGCCGATACAGAACTACGTTTTTTGCAAATTAAAGATAAAAATCCCAATGGTTTTCGTCCGCCCCTGTTCAAAACAAATACAATCAGGTGTCACTGGATTGCTTCATAAAAGGAAGATGTAAATAGTATTACAGGAGTCCAATTCACTACACAGGAAACAGGCATACACCTCCAAAATCTATGAAAATTTTAAGAAGAAGAAACAAGTAATTCTTACAAAAGGTTTTTGCATTACTGAATATTATGGCAGGGGAGTTACCTGGTACCAGTGAAGTCACATGGAAGTCACAGTCATGAGGGAAGTACAAGGAATATGAACTTTTTGTGTTGTTAAGGGTTTATAGCTTAGAAAGTAAACTTTACGGCAAGGATTCCGATTTTAATGCAACATTACCCAATTGCTGTGGATGTCCCCGTTTTGGTACTCACACAAGCACAATCAAAGTATAAACCACAAGATCAGAAGGGACCAGTGGAGCACCACAATCAAGATCAGTGAGTGCAAGAGCAATGGAAAGCAGGAACTTAAATGTTATAGGAAGGTGTTTAAAAAGAACCAAACAGTCAGTCAAATGCATAGATAAGAGGAATATCCTCTGAGCTGTCAAGATAGAAACTTCTTTGGGGAAATGACATATCTTAAATTAGTCCTAAAAATCCAGCATGCCATATATATATATATATATATATACTATACCAGTAACAAATCTTACTGGCAGAAGGACAAAAAATCAAAACCAGTGGTTAAGTGTCTCTATCACAACACCATAGTGAGCTAAGGAAAATAACGATTATCCTAAATCTGTATCATAGCCAACAGACGTCTGCCTGCTGAAGAAGCATCTGTCAGTGTCTAAACAGACGTATCATATGTTAGTACTGCCCCTTGGTCAATATGCTAATTTAATGAATAAAATAATTTGAATTTCAAAGCAGACAGTTTGTTATTTTCTAATTTGCTGAAGAGGATGGATACTCTAACTCTTAGCCACGGAAATCACAAAGAATGGTTCTGCCTTTCTTGTAATATTAAGTGGGAAAAGGGCATAAAAAACCCCTGTGATATGGAAACAAGGCCTTTTTGACAGAAGAGGCTGACAAAACATTATTGCATAAATACCTGAGCAATGGAGTTTTTGAAGACGATGCTAGGCTTCCAGGATGTTCCAACTGTCCACATTCATGCCCATCCCCCTGCTTCCCTTGTCCACTTATTTCTGCTGTTCTGTTAGAAGTTAATTTAGACATCACCTCCTCTTCCTGTTTGGATGCTGAATTCTTGATTGGCGCTTTCCCGAAGTTCTCCAAAGTCTCCACCTGGCTTCTCTCAGCCAGTGGCGACACAGACTCAGACACCAACAGAGGTGTAAGTACTTCTTCCTTTGCTGAAGCCTCTGTAAAAGCATTTGAGAGTCATTCAAGGACTTCATTAACCTGACTTCAGTGACAGCACAACAGCACAAAAGATGTACATGATGTTCAGATGGTTTGCACCATTACAAGACAGGGACTGGATTTTTGGTTTTTTTAAAAATTTTTTTCTGAAGTAGCCATTCAGAAGTAAAAGTTCCCATTCTATTGTTAAAATCTGTAACACCGTACAGATGTTATGGGAAAAAACTGTTAACAAGTGAGATTTTATAGCACTGCCAGCTCCACCTTCCCTTCCTTTACAGCACACCATAGAACTTAGTCAAGTTATCTAGCTGTTTAAGCTGCTACAGTTTCCCTGTGAAGTATTTTTCAGGGCCAAAAAGTAGTTATCCAAGCCCTTCTGCTTTCCCTCTGATTTTTCAGAGGCAGATTAAGCTTTCAAACAATCACACTGTGCATGTATTTTCTTTAAAAAGACAAATACAAAATAAAAATAAATTATTTTGGCATTGTATGGTTAAAATACCAGTTAATACCTTTGTCTATTAGTGCTCTCCAACAGGTGGAAATATTTGCTTAACAGAAGATACGATATTTAGTTCAAGCAACTCCTAAATGTCACAACTAGACTAGCTACAGCAATGTTTTTAGAACCATTATTAAATTAACAGTCAGTATGTAATCCAACACATATACTTTGTGACAGAAAACATTGAATGGTGGTATTGGGGGGGCCGGTTAGCTCACTCAGTTAGAGCGTGGTGCTGATAATGCCAAGGTTGCGGGTTCGATCCCCATTTGGTCTCCAGGTGTTGCCTGATCTAGTTGAGAGGCGTCCCTGCCCATGACAGGGAGGTTGGATTAAATGATCTCTAAGGTCCCTTCCAGCCTAGGCCATTCTATGATTAGGGTATTACCAGAAAAAAAATTATTGCTACTTTTGTGTTAGATAGTCTCAGACTAGACTATTTAACACAATGACAACCAGTATAAAACTGTGATGTGTTAAACATTTATACTTATTATACTTTGTTTTACGAGTTTGTTTACCTACCAGAAGCTATTATTGGAGCATATGTGGATTTAATTGAATAACCCTGTATTTAAAAAAGAAAGCAAAGAAGTTATTTTGCTCAATATAAGAGGGACAATGAAAGTTGATAAAGTCATATCACACAGGTAGAGTTCTAGGAGCGATCCAGAAGACAATTTAATTCATCATTTAACAACACCTTGCAAAGCCCATCAGGAAATGAGTTATAACAAATGACTCAAGACAAAGGATGTCAAAATGAGAGGTCAAAGAAGGAAGAGGACTGTTATCCAGTCCTTTCTAGAAAAGCTCTCTGAAAACAGTGGGGAATTATCACCCATTCCCTCACCCAGGTACAATACACAATCTTAGCCTCATCACAAAAATCAGTGGCAGTCACTGCCACAAGCTTTGTCAAAATTCCAAAAGCACAGAGGGAAGCTGGAAACATGCTGGCCAGTTTTTATGTGCAGCTTGTTCTTTTCAAATAATATCCACTATGTTAGAAAATGGTAGGAACATATTTAAGAACTTCATCATGTAACAGACACCATGATGAATCATAGTATCATTTAGTGAACTGAGTCTGCCAGTCATCCCATACATCCAGAGCTTTCCCTCCTGCGATGTCACTGTCAGAAAGGCTGTGGTGAACAGACCAAATAAGGGCTATTGCCAAACTGCCTTCTAGGAAGTCTAGTGAAGAAAACTGAGAGCTTACAGGTTCTCACAAAAAAATTAATACTACCTCAACAGTTCAAGCTCTTCAAGAGTTCAAAATAAAAAGCAATCTAGGTGTTAACTTTCCTTTTAAGTTGTACATTTTTAAGCAAGTGATGCCATTAAATAAGAAACATAACTAAAATGCTCTGTGTTACACATCTACACAATGCATAAAAGCTCACTAAATGGTGATCTCACCTCGTAAGTGGCTTCCAAGTTACCTTCCAGTGCAACAGTCGGCAGAGCTTTCTTGGCAGGAGGAAAATCATTCTCTTCCAGCTCAGCAGCTGACCTTTTCTGAGTTGTGTGGAAATCTGGAATGGGCTCTCCTGATGCAATCTCTTGTTGTTCAGTTTCCATACTGCGGTTTAAAGGTGCAGCGAATTCATCAGCTGTTGTCAAGGATCCAATGCTGTGGTATAAAAAGTCATGATTATGACTGTACAAGAAGCCAAAATTTATTTTGTATAACATTTCTGCATGGAAATTATACATGGATGTATGGTGATATGCTTTCTTGCTTAATGTCAGTATTAACTTCAAATGTACTGTTTACTCCTGAGAAACATTTTGATGTGCTATCTTGTGCTTCTAGTTGTAGTTGAACCATTACAGTTCAGTTTGAACTCCACCTGTTAATTCTGTGAAAATTTAAAATAAGACAACTGATTAATAGTCCTAGAAAATCCTAAAATACATTATCAAGCTAACCATTCTATAATTCTATGATTATTGCTTATATGCACAGTTGTATCTTTACCTCCACACCCCTAAACCCTTCTACCACCCTAACACACCTCAGTACAATCTCAAAAGGCAGCAAGTCACCTAGGGAAGCCTAGGGAAGCAGCAGAGGCTGGGGAATTAGGGTAAAGTAGTAAGGGAACAGTGACATGGCAGATGTACCCTAATTCTGCCTATCAACAATTCTATCATCAGTCGTTCCACACGAGCGAGAAATCTTACACTGTGTAGCCAAAATTCACAAGACCAACCCTTTCAATAACTAAGGCGATGACATTAACATCTGATGTCACAGGGCAGGTTCCTCAACAGTGATGTGGAACTGAATCACACCTCTAATTATGATCTGAGGACTTACATTAATAGAGTAATAGGGGTTCTTTCCAATTTTGGAACACTTTCTATTCTTCAAAATGTCTCTTTCCTTTGAAGTTGTTTGTTTTGGTTTTTTTTTAACTCCCAAACTGACCAGAAGATTTAGTTCAACTGTAATGTTGAAATAACAACTTTATTGCATTGCATTGAGGAATACTCCTTGTAAAAAACCCACCCAAACTCAAACCTTTGTATCACACATTACTGAAAATTCATTACTACTCTGTTGTATAATTTGTATAATCTTTTTCCTTTTGTACATGGTACAAACCCAAGAGAGTATCTGAACTTATGTCCACTGTTAATCATATTCTCCAGAAGACCATCTGCACTAAAAATCTGGAAGAGCGATTAATAAACAGCTATGAAATTTATGAAATTGTTAAAGGACTGTAAAAATGCAAATACGGTTAGATTTTTCATTTCAACTACTTTTCATTCTAAGTATCCCTGGTAGAATAGACCCAGGCTGGACAAATGACTTCTGCTAAAAATGAAGACTTGCTCTGAAGGGTAAATGAGAATTAAGGCTGACACCAAAATCCCAGGTAACTAAATCATTAACTTCAAACCATTGATGAGATCTTTCTTAAATCTGATTAGTCCTTTTCACTGTCTTAATTTCCTGACCAGCCTGCCTCCTGCAAGTCTTCTTTTGAGAAGTTCTAATCTCTAAAACATTCAGATACCAATCAAGGTTCACTTTGATCAAAAATACAGCATTTACCTCCTCACTTCAGTCATGCTTGTTTCGCTTGCATTTATTGGGTTCAGAAGTATTGGGGCTGGTAGTAATGGCTCTGAAGTTTGTTCTAGCAAAGCAGATGCATCGAATTCTTTTGAGTCAGCTGGGATTTCCACCAGTGTTAAAATGAAGGTCTGTTCCTCCTCTGGACATCGGTGATCGTTGTTCATTACTGTATTTTTTTTCAGGGAAATCAAGAAATAACAGAAATCTATTATTCAAGTTCAAAATTACACTGTTCTATTCATGCCCTCGCTATCTTGACTAATTAAATTTTAGGAACTCATTTCTCCATGGAAAAAAGGCACTGGGGATACTCTTGAGACAATATGCTGCTTTTCTTCCTAGATAAGAGATGCATTGTCACCCCCCGGAGCCTATTCACTGCAGTGGAGTCCTGACTAGCATTCAGCATGAAGAATATTAAAAATGCCTAGTAGGGATAGAGCTTTTTAAATAGATGTTCTGGCATTAAAGAACAATTTGCAGTTTAATTAAACTTGTGTAATGGTGGTCAAATGACCCTCTGTCTTTAATTGCAACTGTCAGGTATTAAGAGTTACTTCTTCAAATGGCAGGAGTCTGCTGTTTTATTGGTAAACAGAAGGATTTTCCCCCTCACTGTGGACCTGCAGAATGGACAAACTGTCAAATGCCATCTGTTAGAATGAATTAAAAAATAGAACATTTGTAAAGTTTTCTAAAGATGGAAAACAACAGTCCTGCTCCATTACTTAAGGCAGCTCTCATTTGTGATAATGTAAAGCTGCTGTTATTCCAACCTCAACTCATTTTGGTTCTTTATCTAATTAAACATGATTTAAGATGCTCTGACCCAAGATCCTTGCAATAACAGAGCACAACAACAGATGTCTAAGATGACGTATTAGCCCTACTTTTTGCACATGCTCAGGAGCTACAACTTTGAACTGCAATTTCCATGTAAAGTATGTATTCTGGGCTTCTGACACTGTGATTTTCCCTGTTCCTTAGACAAATATTTGTTCCAAACCAGCTCCATTTCAATTTGTTTTAGGGAAAAGCAGCCATCACCTTCATACCTTTCATCACTTCTCATCAGTTAGGAGTTAATCTGCTGACTCACTACAGCTAAAGAGGGAAGTCTGATTGTCTTCTTTTCCTTCCCTCTTCTTCTTTCTCCCCTGCTCCGCACTTGCACAGTCCAGGCCTCCCACTCACACAGTTCCAACACTGGCAGTCACTCAACAGCTTCACGAGTGACTGTAGCTCGCTAAGACAGTGGAAAACTACACAGCTTCTCTCCTCCTGTCACATTCAACTCTTGATGGGTGACTCAGAGGCTCATAATAGCCTCTAACAACTGCTCAGCCTAGCACAAGGTAAGCAGTGGGAGCTCACAGCAGAGAAGAGAGCAAGAAGTTTCCCTTCACTGATATTTAAACTTAAACTGCTATTCAAAAAGTTCCCAAGTCTAAGTTAGTGCTAATGAAACGTAATAAGAGGCTAGGGAGGGGAATGGCACTGTGCTATGGGTCATTATTTTTTGTTAATTAAATAGATTAAGCATGTCAGTGAAAACAATTATCTTTTGAAATCCATCTTTGCATAATTGCAAGATACATAAGTGTGGGGTTTTGCTAACTTAGAAAATTAGCACACTATACCTGAAGTCTCTTCTGTGCTGCTTATGCATTGTTGGGCATCCTGAGCACAAGCTTCATTCTAGAAATAACACATTTGAAATAAAACAAGTTAATAAATTTGAGAAATAACACTACAAAACAGGAAAGAAACAAGCATATCAAATGCTGAAGAGCCCCAAAAACCTAGTGACATTATCATAATTGCATTTGCCAGCTTTTACTTCCAGCTATTCTACATTGAAAGGTATTATCCTGAAAAGGACAAGAAATGCTTGGGCAACATAAAATTTATATGCAACTCATTGCCTGTATTGATGGTTTGTCAAAATAAATTTATACTTCCTACAGCACAACTGTCAGAGATGACTCACACAATAAATTGCTCAGTGGCACTAAAAACACAAATTCCCCTAACCATTACAAAACCATTGAGAGCAAAGAAAATCACCCAGCTCTGCAACTCATCTATCCTTTCCCTTTTATGGCATGTAGCTTTGCTTAAAAACAGGAATACTTCTGCAAGTTGCCTCTTCTTATACTCTCTGCCCATCTTGTCAGAGCCAAATCATTCTTGTACTTTGTTCTAACATGAGATCAGCCTTAACAAATCAGCAGTTTGCACCAGGGAAAAAAGCTACTGTTCCACCAGAACTGCAAGTACGCTGATCTTGGGCAGCACTAGAAAACCTGAAGGAACCAAGAATGAACCTTTCTCTCATGAAGAAATAAGATACTTTTCGTTTATACTAGAGCAGGGATACACAAACTGCTATTAAGAAGTGGATATGAAGGACATACTGTTTGTCCAAGATAATATACATTTAAAACCCTTTGATTTGATTTTGAAATAAATGGGAAAGAGCACAGGCAAACGATGAAGTTTGTTTTAAAGCAAATGAAGATGGTGATGAAAATGCTACATCCAGCAGTGACATTTTAACTTAGTTTTAATTTAAACAAGTAACAGTAACAGGACAGACTGAATGAATATATGAGTAACTTCTTCCATCAAGAACTAAAAAACTGCTCAAGATTTTGCTTATATATATATATATATGTATCTCACTTATTGCCAAAATCCTATAAACTTAGGTTTGCAAATAAGTTTAGCTGAAAGGTTATGTTTGGTTATGCCTCTGCAAAAAAGAAAGTACTTCACCAGCTGAAGTACCAAGTTTTTAAAATGGGTGAGTACATTTGCACTGAAAACCTCTTCCTTTATAGAATTTTACAAACTGGGCAGTTCTAGACTGTGATTAAATTAAGTTCTTTACCTGAGTAAAGTTGATTGTGCAAAGGTTGCGCTCAGGAAGACAAGGATTTTGCTTAGGAAGCCCATCCACAGAACTTTGATTTCGACAATCCTCTAGTCCAAGGTGAGATTTTTCAGGTTTTGGTGATGCAGTTAGAGGTCTTAAATCTCCTGAATTTCCACAAACATCTCTCATCTCTTTTTCTGTTCTGTAATGTATATATCTAGTTAATCTGAAACCAACTGAAGATGCCCCAAGCATGGGCTGAATTATGTATAATTATTTGTTTAATATGAAAGTTTATCTAGTTGCAATGAAACAGATTACCTCTTTAAAAACTACACCATTCTACTGAACAGTCTACATAAAGTACTTCAGGAAAAAAACCTCCCTAACATCACTAATTGACACTTTACTACTAAAAGCAGGAAGCCTCACAAGGCTTTATACATTTCCAAATCAAGCGGCTCCTTAATGTTTCCTTTCAGATGCAGTTTCAAGGAAGACTATTAAGCAGCAAGGTGATGACTGAGTTCTGAAACAGGCAACACAAGTGAAATTTTTACCCCCAAGAGCTGTAGGGCAACATGTAAGACAGAAAAACCTCAGAAGTGTAAACTGCACACTTACGTGCACGCACAGTATCTGTAAGCATAGTTTCCATCACAGACTCATCCTACACATGCACTTCAGCTGCATATTTTAAGAGACTTTAGGAATAAAGTTACTACTAACTAATGGATCTCCTTACCTCTCAGTTTTATCTGCTTGCTTAGTAAGTTCCATACTTCTAGCTGCAAAATCATGAAGGACTGAAGAATCACCTGCAGCTGGTCTGACCTGTTCTAGTTCCACCTTCTGCATTTCTGCAGTACCTCTCAGGATTGTAGATACTAAGATAAAGAAGAAAAAATCAAAATATTTTTTTTGGTGTGCATATGTGTATATATATTTATGTATGTTATTTTTACATATAAGCTTTGTGTACTGAAATGTGTATCTACATAGATGTGTATATATAAGTACACTACAAAATTAATTAAAATTAATTTTGATGTCTATGTACACATGTATATTTATGTCTAATTTACATAAGACACACATACCACCTTGCCTTTGGCATGTTTTGCATTTTGTCAGTGACATGAAGATAATTAAGAGTTTGAAAACCATGTATTTTTCCAGCTGATTTAAGAATGGCAAAACATTTCTGTGTATTTCCCTTTCTGGTTTTAAAAGAAGGGAAAGACAGTAATAACAGAAAAAAGTACATTGTATTGTACTGTATTTCTGTGATGGGCAGTGCAAAAATTTAAGGGCTTTTCCAAGTAATTTAAGACCTGCACAGATAAACTCCCATTCAAATTTAATTTATTTTATGCAGAAAGGTATACTTATGGGTAAAACCATATCTTAAATGGACGTCCTACGTTACAGTGGTGATGCACCATTTGTGAATATGAACAGAAAGTGAAGACTTTTGGCTTAGTTTAATTGCATAGAGATGTGAATCCATCAGAAGGAACCATTTTCAGAATCCTAGAATAAGAAACAGGCTTACCAGTTTGAACTTGCTCTTGTTCCACAAGTACATTTGTATTAAGTGGCTTCTGAATTATGTTTCCACTGGACCTCAATACTCCAAAGTCCAGCTCAGGTTTCAGGAGTCTGTCTCCTGGTGGTGTCATACTATTCATGGTAGGCAAAGAGCTCTCTCTGCATGTGAAAAAGCAAAATGCCATCAATATAGTTCTTGATTTTCGACAGTGCAGAAAAGAGAGATGCAGTAGATGAGACAAAGAAAGCTAAAATACAAGCTGCAGCTGGCAGAGGTGACATAAGACTCTTTGGCAATACAAAAACTAAAGATCATCAGAGAATAAGAAGAGGCAGGAATACTGCAACCTAGAATGTTCCCTACCTAAAGAAAAAATGAGTAATTGAAACATTTAAACTTGAGAAGCTCAGAAATCTAACACTGATCACATGCTAGTAAGTTCTGATTAATAATGTAATAAAAAAGAGCCACTGGACTTGCTTATAATTTTTCAGAGGAGTATCATCAGACACTTTGTTCAAGCAATCAATAAATCAAATAGTCTTTAACACTTGATCACCAGCAGATTTTTTCTGAAAAGGTGTTCCATCAAGCTGTTTCAATATTCACAACTGCTTGCACAAAATTAAAAAACATAATGACAGAAGATCAACCGGTTCCTTGAGATCCCTTTGCTCTGTTATCTTTGAGCTACACTGCACAGCAGAAGTGACACTTCAGCAGTTTGCACTGGCCTGATCAACTGTACGCATTTTGGGAAAACGAGCTTGGTAATTAACAGTGATCCACACCAAGTACATTGGAATATTCTTTTCCCACCCAACAGGGTAAACTTAACTTTAGGACTGAAGAGCAAGTTCAACATCCCCAAAACTATATACCAACACCTCACAAAAGAAAGACAAGGGGTCTTCCAGATTATATACCAGATTATCTAAACTAAGAAGTCTTCACTTAGCAAAGACTGCTTGCAATTCAGTAAAAATGCCAGAAAGAACCTAGCAAAGGTAAGTACTGGCAGAGGATCTCTCTCCTTGAGAAAAAAGTAGTAACTGAACCTGGCATCTGTTGCATTTTTCTCAAAATATTCTTCGACGCCTATTCTTGTGCCATTGCTTTGATCCTCCATATTAATGCTGCTTCCATCCTCAGAAGAGACTAATTCCATGGCAGAAGTGTCTGAAGAAAGTAAATACTGACTAGAAGTTCTATTTTCTTCGGAGCAGGTGGGGGTTACAAGGCTATTGGCCATGTCCATCTCATCTTGAGCAGGTAACATGTGTGTCCATTCTGCTTAGAACAATAAACAGAACAGAAAAGCATAAATTGAAAGACTCAGGTCTGGCATTTACATAAAGCTACTCTACTGATGTTCAACTTCAAACCTCATTTAACAAAGTCTGCATTCTCCAAAGATGCAAATGCAATCCTAAGATCACAATTCTCTTAGTAAGAATACAAAAACAAACATTCAACCAATGAAAGCAAGTAAATTCTAAATAAAAGTTTAAAAAACTAGCCTAAACCCAGGTAATTCCTGGTTGCAGCTAGTTAGGTAGAACAAGCTATGCTTCATTTTAGAGGCCTAAAAAGACTACTCACAAGTTATGGTCATTTAAGCCTGATTCCTTTCTTCAGTCCAGTTTAAATAACTAGATTAATTCAAACACATCCTTCCTAAAACAGGTCTCAGAAACATCTTTCTAGTGCAGGGATGGAGTTATTAGTCTTACTCTTTCCAGCCAGCGGGCTTTGCCTGGTCTCACTACGTGTTACGGTCCAGCAGGACTATAACCATGAAAGACTTCTGACCACCTGCTCCGTAGCAGGAGGTACAAGAGCTTTGCAGTCACTGCTCCATCCCTCCTTACGTGGACTCAGAAAGTACAAGCAAGACTTTGTTTCAAAAATCAGATCGTACCTTCACTGCTCGTTTTTAGCTGGAACATTGGATCACCCATGGCTAGTAAAGTCATGGCAGCTTCAGTGCTTCCATCATTAATTCCTACAAAGTTGTTCACACATGTTAGAAGTCACAAGCGTATTAACCAAAAATCCACTTATCCATATTCAAAAAGCATTTGATGCTGTCATCAATGTAATGAAATATTTAATTGTTGCCATTCATTCATCAATGTGCTTGTACACAGCAATTCTCATCCACTAAATTCAAACTCTTGCAAAAATACCGAGCAGCAACATCATCCCCTTTAATGGTGTGCTGGGCACAGAAGGCAAGGTGTTGGCAGCAGCGGAGCTGCCTAGGCACAGCCAGTTCCACTAACCCACTGCAGGACACAGCTGAGCCTGTCAACCATAATGGCAGCTCCTTTGGGAAACATGTTTAATAAATGGGAAAATATCGCACCGCAGTGAAAAGTGAGGGAGAAAAAAAATGTCAGGAACAGCCCTGTGAACACAAAAGTTGGTGAGGAAGGAGGGGAGGAGTGGCCCATGCATGAGAGCAGAGATTCCCCTGCGACCTGTAGAGAAGACCTGGCTGGAGCAGGTAGACATTCCCTGCAGCAACTGCACTGTGGATCACGGTGGAGCTGACTTATCCTGAAGGACTGTGCCCCACAGGAAGGACACCACACTAGAGCAGGGCAAGAGTGGGAGCAAAAAGTAGCAGCAGAGATCAAGTGTTAGGAACGGACTGGAACCCCTGTTCCTGGCCCCTGCACCCCCTGAGGGAAGGAGGCAGAGGAATGGGAAGCGAAGGTGTGAGGCTGAACCTAAGAAGGCAGAGGGGAGGAGTAGGTGTTCCAGTTTTTGGTTTTGTGTCTCACCACCCTACTCTATTTTGTTTGGCAAGTAACTAAATTAGTTTTCCCCTGGTTGAATCTGTTTAGATAAAGAGAGGTCCCTGTGTTTATCACAACTCCGGAGCTTTTAGATTTTACTGTCTCCCCTCACCCTGTTGCGGAGGAGTGAGAAAGCAGCTGGGTGGGCATCCTGCAGCTGGCCAAGGTCAGCCTGCCACTGTCTTGGCTTTGGCTGGGGGAGTTAATTTTCTTCCTAGTAGCTGGTTCAGCACGATCTTTTGGATTTAGTGTGAGAATAATGTTGGTACCACACACTGATGTTTTAGTTGTCACTAAGCTGCACTTATCTAAACGATTTTCAGTTTCTCATTCCCTGCCATCAAGGAGGTGCACATGCAGCTGTGCAGGAGCTGATCTGAGCCAGCTGGGGGGATGTTTCCACCACGGACCACCTTGCTTGGTGCAAATCCGGGAGAGTTGGCCATTGGGGTCACGTCACTGCTTGGGCATCAGCCAGTGGGTGGTGAACAACTGCTCTGTGCATCGCTTGTCTTTTCTCAGGTTTTATTTCTCCTCTTTGTTATACCAATTCTTATTATTTGTTGTGATGAGTTTGTGTCTGGTGGGATTGTGGGAGAAGGGCTGCGAGGGATGGCTCCTTGAGAAGCTTCCAGAGCCTCCCCCAGTCCCAGGTCAAAGCTGTACCCACATGTTTATTTCTTGGTCTCTTTGTGTCCTGTCTTTTGTGTTGGTGAGCTGCTTCTTTGTAGGAGGAGGTGGGAGGAAAGTAAAACACGATCATTGAAGAAGCAGGGCAGAAAGGCATGGCTGCAGAGCATTTCCCGGAGGCTGGTGGTGAACGAAATGGCAGGGAGAGGATTGCCTGCAAGCTGAGGAGACCATCTGTAGTGAGAGGTCCAGGATGTCACAGCACCTGGAGGACCCAGTGCCAGAGGAGAGAGAGACTGCGCAGGAGCAGAGGGCACTGCAGCCACGGGTGGGTCCCACACTGGTGGGAAGCACTGCCACGGAGGGAGAGGTTTGCCTGGCGTGAGATGGACACCCCACGGCAGCAGGGAAAGACTGCCAGGAACCCCCTTCTCCAGGAGGATGGACTGCCATAGGCAATGAGCAACAACAGAACTGCATCTTCCAGCCCTGATGATGATGCAGGGGAGGAGACAGCCAGGAGGAAGAGGTAGGAGGAAGTGTATTTAAGATCAGGTTGTACTTACTCATTTCTCTCACTATCCCACTCTGACCTAACTGATAACTGGTGGTAAATTAATGTTTTCTCCCCAAGTCTGCGCTGTCTTTTTTGCCTGTTCCCATAAGTGGTGAATGAACCCTCCCCGTCCTAATCTCAGTCCTTGAGCTTTCTATTTTTATGTCGAAGTTTCTCCCCATCCCTCAAGGGACAGAGGTGGGGGTTAGCAAGCAGTTGTGTGGTTATTTGTTGCCAGCCTAGGCAGCCAGCTCAAACTATGACATTACTACATTTTATTATCAATGTTACTAAAGTTTAGTTATTACACTGTTATCTCAACCCATGAGTTCCTTTTTTTTTTCTTTTTTGGTTTGTTTTCCCAGTCCTCCTCTCCATCCCACTGGGAGCAGGAAGAGTGAGCAAGCAGCTGCATGGTGCTTAGTAGCTGGCTGGGGATAAACCACGACAGCCACAAACGGAAAAGAAAGAGTAACAGTTTAACCACAGAAATCCATAACCTGCAGTGTTGATCCACACTGCAGTCTAGACTCCCAATTCCTAATCTCTATCCAGAATACATCTCTTTGCCTATCACTAACTGATCACATCCAACAAAACACTTCCATCTTCCAAAGCTATTGTACTGAAATAAGTCCAAAGAACAAAGTAGTCTTCTCCTCCATCAGCAAAGACAGCAAGTCACAGCAAGTGTTTCCTAGGATGAGGTATTGAGAATGTATTTAAAATGAAAACTGAAAGCTCTTCTAAACAGTAACAGATCCATAAGAGTTTCTAACACATCTCATATGTAAAGAATATTTGCTTCTGGAAGACTGTGATTGCAGCTGGTCACACATGCTATTTTACCAATTTGGGATATTAAACTCAGAGACCACAAAGATGACAAAGCTATCAATCCACCCACTCAGTCATGTAAACTCTAAGTAAGCACTTGCAAAGATTCCTCTTCTCCCAGTACAGTTAACCATGGCATGGGAAATTGATGGATGGGATATTAATTCTGATCCTGGACAATGCTCTGTCCCTCTCTTTGACAGAGAACAGTAAGAAAGAAAAGGGTTTAAATCTCCTCCGAAATATAAAGGCATCCATTATTTCATGAACAGTTTTGTGGGGTTTCTTTTAAGATATATAAACGTCTAAGCTTCCAGCAAGAATAACTACACAATAGCAGGAAGTTAATGGGAAAGATAAGAACAAGATTGTTTCATACCTACCTTTGTTCACCTCTGGATTTCCATGAACGGCTGTTTCCTTAAATAAAAAGAAAAACAACATAAAAGTTCTATAACAAATCAGTCCACAATTTTAACTTAATGCTTATGGGTAAATTCTCTTCCCAAGGGTTTCCATGGCTTTGAAAGGGTATTTTAAACACTAACAATCTTTATTTACAAAGTTTTCCCATAGCTGTATGTCCCTCATATCTATGTGGGACAGTTACGAGTCTGTCAAGCTAATGCCATTAGAAACAGACATGGCAACCAGACACTGCCCATGTAGCTTTAGATGTGCTATGAAACCAACCAACCAACCGACAAACCAACCAGACAGAGCTGCTGAGGTGCTTACTTTTTCCTCTCTCTGTACCTCTGGCTGGACAGATGCATGGGAGAGACTTCCACCATCAGTAACCACCTGCAGATCTGGAACATTCACAGGTATTTCCAGCTGTAAAAATAATTTTAAAAGTAGTTCAGTTCATCAGCCCCAAAAGAAAATCTCTCAAATGCAGTTTTATAAACCAAATGTACTTAGTAGAAGTTGAATATTTAGTAGGATCCTTCCCAAAAATGAATTCTTATATCACATATTTTCTGATTTAAGAAGACAGCAGTTGCACGAACTGGAGGCAGAACTGCTGGTGCTGCTTGTAACTAAGTGGATGCATCAGACAACTTAAGACGTTGATTCTAATTGCTTATTACTTCACAAAACTAATTTATGCAGCTGAGATCCTTAATGGTGGCCATTTACCTTATTATTATTTTTGTTAGTTTTCACACTTCTTCTGCTTTTTAGATCTTCAGGAAGTAAAAACCTGTCCAAAGTAAGACTAGGGAATACACTCACCCACCATTTGCCATATAAATCTTTTTCTTCTTCTTTTCACTGTCTATTCATTGAGAACATCAGACATTTTTAGAAACAAGGACTTGAAATTTGGCAGAAAGGTTAAAGTATTTCCAGTGAGGTTCTTATGAAAAACACTGGTCAATCTGAGCAGCTTTCAGAGACTTGCACTTTTACAGATACTTTCCACTGACCTATTCAAATTTGGCAACAGCTGAGTCCTCAAGTATGCAGTCATATTCCTTACTAGCACTCACTGCTCCTGTGTGTTAAAACAGGGAACTTGTTTATCACTCCCGCACCTAATACAGTCCATTGGGGAGGTTTAGATATTAGAAAAAACTTCTGTACTGTATGAGTGGTGAGACATTTGAACAGGCTGCCCAGGGCAGGGGTGGAGTTGCCATCCCTGGAGGTGTTCAAAAAACGTGTAGATGCAGCACTTCAGATGTGGCTTAGTGGTCGTAGTGGTGTTGGGTTGATGGCTGGACTTGATGACCTTAGAGCTCTTTTCCAACCTTAATGATTCTACTATTCTATTCTATGATTCTATGATCTTTGAAATAAAGGGATATGGCAAAACTTTACACACAACTTTGCTACCCATTATTGTTCTAGAATGTCTTCATTGAGCTTCAATTTCTTTTGCCATTTCAACTCAGAGAAAGAAAGTGTGATTAATTTATTCAGGAGACAAAAAAAGCAGAATTTCAATGGTAGAGGAGAGGAAGATGACTAGTAGTAGCAAGCAAAAAGAATTGGAGTGAACGGAAGAAAGTAATGATGAAGAGCTGAGGCAAGAATAGAACAGGCTGGTTAAACAGATATGGAATGAAAGAAAAGAATGAAAGGAATATAAAAAGAGTGGTAAAGACATCACTGAGATAAGACAGGCTAGAAGGGACAAAAAAAGCGCAAAGAACTCACGTTGAGTGATAGGGAAAAAAAAATAGAAAAACATCTAAAACCTTTAAGCACAATCCTTTTCAAGGCTTTGACTAGAGTCCACTGTTGCCAAACCTCAACATTTTCCCCAATGACAAACAAGTAGGTATGTAATTTCCTCAATAGTGACTGATTTCAGTGGACACAATACTAAGTCCTGCTACCATCCTTCAGTCTCCATTTTTATTCTGGTCTAGGAGTACAATTAAAACGTAGGCCTGCACTCTGGGCTTAAAGCTTCCAACACTAGAAATGGAAGAGACAAACCATACAGTTTTGGAAAAAACCTGACGTAGACGGTCTGTCAGTGACAGCAGCAGAGACTGGGGCCCATGGATGTGCCCGTGCCAGACAGAGCAGGAACATCCCTGAGTGGACTGCAGCCCACGGAGGACCCATGCTGGAGCACAGGCAAGAAGTGGAGTTAAACTCTATAGCCTGAAAACAAAAGGACAAAGACTGGAGAATTTTAATAAATACATGTTTAAACTTTTTTTAACCCATTGAGTTGTAAGCTACAGAAAGTACTATAGTAAGGACAATGTGAATCAAAGGAAGACAAGCCTCACGAGAAACCAGGCAAGTGCAGCAATGACCAACCTGACCTAGTACTGGTGCTCAAAAACTCAACGCAATATGCCACATCTCCTGAGCAACAGTGTAGTACTTGGAGATCGAGGCATGGACCCAACTCAAAATGCCCGCCCAATGTTCTTTAAGAGGGTGGCTCACAGAGCGAGGGAATTATATCCATGCATCTATCAAAATACAGGAAGAGAAGTTGTGGTTAATAAGGAAGAAGTAGATAGCATAGGACCTAGGCGTGACACAAATGGTATGAAACAAAGGGTGAAGATTGTACTAGGTATAGCAGGGATAAAGTTAATTTTCTGCATAGTGGCCCACATGGTGCTGTGTTTGGATTTGTGACTACGGCAGTGTTGCTAACATATCAGTATTTTTGCTGTTGCTGAACAGTGCTTGCACAGTGTCAAAGCCTTCTTCTTCCCTACGCTTTGACCCAGCAAGTAAGCTAGGAGTGGTCAGGATGTCACAAGAGCACACAGTTAGGACAGCTGACCCAAGCTGAAAAAAGGGATATTCCATATCATATGATGTGCTCAGCAACAGATGTTCATGGAAAGGAGGAGGAAGAAGAGGGCATCTGTGGTAACGACATGTCTTCCAGAGTAACTCTTACGAAGCCTGAGGCCCTGCTTCCAAGGGCAGGCCATTCCTGGAAACGTAGCGAATAAATTCCTTATTTTTCTTTGCTTTCATATGCAGCTTTTGCTTCATCTATTGAACTGTGTTTGTATCAACCCATAAGTCTTCTCACTTTCCTTCTATTTTCTCCTTGTCTCACAGGAGAAGGGAGTGAGCAAGCAGCTGTGCATCTGCCCAGCTAATGGGCAAGGTCAGATCACCATGCAGGTAAAGTTTCTTGACAAGAGGGACACCGCATAAAACCCCACCTCTTTCCTTTCCTTATTTCTTAACATTCACACACTAAATTGTAATTCTTTGTTTTCACAGAATCACAGAATGTCAGGGGTTGGAAGGGACCTCAAAAGATCATCTAGTGCAGCCCCTCTGCCAGAGCAGGGTCACCTACAGTAGGTCACACAGGAACATGTCCAGGCAGGGTATTGAAAGTCTCCAGCGAAGGAGACTCCACACCCTCTCTGGGCAGCCTGTGCCAGGGCTCTGTCACCCTCACAGTGAAAAAGTTTCTCCTCACGCTTTTGTGGAACCTCCTGTGTCCAGCTTCTATCCATTGCCCCTTGTCCTGTCACTGGACATCCCTGAGAAGAGCCTGGCTCCGTCCTCCTGACACTCCCCCTTGACATATTTATAAACATTAGTGAGGTCACCCCTCAGCCTCCTCTTCTCCAAGCTAAAGAGCCCCAGCTCCTTCAGCCTTTCCTCACCAGGGAGATGTTCCATCCCCCCATCATCTCTGTGGCTGCGCTGGACTCTCTCCAGCAGTTCCCTGTCTCTCTGGAGCTGAGGGGCCCAGAACTGGACACAAGATTCCAGATGTGGCCTCACCAGGGCAGAGCAGAGGGGTTGTTTTATCATCTTGGGCCTCAAAACACATGGTAAGCATGGTAGCCTATGGCTACATTCAATGCCAATAAACAAACTGGTGAGTGCTCTGCAGACGTACACACGGTTTGTGAATGTGACTGGACCTTAGACCAATTGCAGTGTTCTGCTCAAAATCAAGTAACATCCCTGCTACCCTCAATGCCATTCTTAATGAACTAAAATAAATTGGATAAAACCTAAGTACTTGGAGACTTAATTAAAGTAAAAGCTGTTTAAACAATCCAAACAAAAATACATATGCAGAACCCAGCTACATGATACCTCCTCCATGGTTTCCTCTATCTGAACAGGAACAGGTTTCGGAGATCGAAGACCTATAGGAATAAATGCTGGAGCTTTGTTTACTTCCTCTGGTGCAAAGCATTCATCTTCATTATCAGGCTCAAAGTCATCTATTTCCTCCTCATCCTCCTCCTCTTGAGAAGCCCGGAGGGTCACCAAGGTTATCTTGGAACTTCTGTGCTCCTTTCCAGGCTTCTTTTTATGCATAGTTTTCAAACTTTTGCCTCTAGTAACACCCAGTTTAACTGGTTGTCTTTGATTCCCCTTCTCATTGCAATCAGCCTCGCACTCAGAGGCAGAAGAAGCAGCAGTTCTTGGGTTCGAGACATGTTTTGGCAGTGCTATCCATTTTGATGACCTTCGGGACTGCCTTCTAAAGCATAAAACAAAAGCATGTTTGGAAAAAAACCAAAAACCACAACAATGAACATTAAAAAAAAAAAAAAGGCGTGCCACAAATCAAACTAAACTTAGTGAATAAAAACGGATCATTGTGACCGACAGGACAAGCTATTTACTTCCTAACGTGTAGTGACAAAGATGCATCCACACACCATTTAATCAGAAATCCTAATTTCTTCATGTATGAAAAAAAACACCGATTGTAAATGTTTCAGGATGTTGGAAAGCTGCACAATTAAATTTACAAGATACAAAAACCTTTAACTAGAAAAGGATGAATTACTTTTCATGTTGACAGATGTGGAAGTCACACACTTTCACGTCATGGGAAAATCTGCAGTTCTCTTTTGCTAAAGCTATACTAGAAGCCCCAGACTATGATCAACTTTAGTTGATCAGACTAATGTCTAGAAATTAGAGCTGCCAAATAATAACTAATTATCTGCTATGGTTTCTCAGACTGCAGTCTCTTCAATAATCACCTGCTTAATGCCTCCCTCCTCAAAATGATGGGCACGACCACTTTGGGTACAAAAAATAATTCCAGATTTCCCCCAAAAACATCCTCCCAGGTAAAGTGGTAGTGAGGGGAAACAAATAGCAGCAGAAGTTGCTTCCAAAACGGAGTTTGTGTTTAGGTTAATCCTACAATCACTGTGTCCCCAACACAGGTACTTAAAAGTCCTCCCCATAAAATCAGGAATTTGTGTTGAAACCAGTACTGGATGGGGGATGGGCTGGTGGGAGTGCTGGCTGTGCCTATTTGATGAGAGTGCAGAGCCTTTGCAGTGAGTACAAGCATTAAGGCTTTCTACGTCTTCCAAGAAGCTCTCCAGCCCAAATGTGAGCCCTGGTGAGCTAAGTACCAGCTCTTTCAGCTGTCCAAGCTTCCCTAACCCCAGCAGGACTGGAATTGCAACATCTTCCAAGGCAGTAACTATTTCTTGCATGACTCGTGCACCCATCAAAGTCCGTTAGTGCAATCTGAGAGGTCAGAAAGGAGCTTTAGGCAATTTAGTCTGTGGAAATCAGAGTCTATCAGCTGCTACCACACGCAGAGATGAGAGCGCAGCAGGGTCAGACCCCTGCACGCATCCAGCAGGATTCAGGTGGAAGGCACAAGGACTGACATCCGGCAAGCACTCATACAACACACTGCAGAACTAAGGCTAATAATCATGCTTTTAAAACAAAAGTTAAAACCAATCAGTTGAGCTTACAAGCCAAAATCAGTTGTTTTACCTTGTGAGATTGTCTGATTTTTTTTCCTGAGCGGCAGAAAGCTGAGAATCATCTTGTTCTACTTGACTGTCATTCTCTGACACCTGTGGAGTCTGAAGTCTGCTATCCTGCCTGATTCTTTTGCAAGGTGCTTCCTCAGCGTCTGTAAAATCGTGTTGTCTTGTAGCCTTTGAGAAGGATGTAGTTTCCATGATGTTACTCAAGTTTTGCTGAACACAGGAGACCATTAATACTCTATTAAGTGCCAAATATTTTAACTGGGTTTTGGTGACAAAAGATTTGAAGAATTAAGTTTGAGTTCCTGCTCCAACATGCTCAGCTGTCATTTCTGATAGCTAAGGACAGTTCCTCCCCATTTTGTTTAATTTCAGGCCCTGTAGCAGATATGCATTACATGGTATTATCTATGATGCTCAAGCTCCCAGTGCTGCTGTTGGTGACTAGACCAAAGCCATGCTCAATTTAATCAAGAACAGCAACTCTTCAGCAATGGGAAAGACAAATCACCTTCTAAAACTACCTCTTAATTTAAAGAACAATTTGAGAGGAGAATTTTTCTTCTGCCCTGAGAACAAACTAGGAAGAAAAAACTACCACAGTCTGCAGAACAGCATTTAAATATTATTCAAAACACGCACACACTCACAAGCATGTCCCAGAACATAGAAAACCTCAGCAAACACATTTTTGTGAACTACGGATGCTTGGCTAAAATATGTTAACTGCAAGATTTTAGTGATGCATCTAGAAAATAAGGAACACCCTTTAAACTTGATTCAGATATCACAACTTCAGACAGAGAAGGAACAAGGTTCAAGCAGAAGGTGATCTGAACTTTGTTGACAAACATTTCACCTTATATTTATACGTATTTTAGTATCTGTTTAGAGGTATCTGATATTCAACAGCTGCCTTAATTTATGTTTTTCAATGAATAATGGGCAAATTAATTGGTAGCAGTGTTATCAGGTATTTATGATAATGCAGACTTCTGACCATAGAAAACTGCAGAATTTAAGACAGCAACCTACATTACATAATTCCACAGATTTTAGATACTCTGTCCATTTATTCAGTATAATTTTCAATACTGAATTAAAAAAAAAAGTCACATTAATCTTTCCCAGCTATATACTAGATTTCTGTGACATCTATGGTTTTAAGAATGTAAACACAAGTACTGAGGTATAAATTAGCTCAAAACACATGGTCAGCACTTACAGTGGATACACTTGTTTCTTCTAATAACAAACATGGTTCTGCACTTCTGTCCTCGCTGTCCTCTTCTCTGTTTTCACCTTCTTCAGGACAATCTTTTTTTCTACTAACTCTTATTAGGCTTGGCCTTGCGTTCCAGTAGGGTTCCCCCTCTTGATACAGAGGTTTTGTATCACTCTGTTTACTTCCTTCTTCAAAACTTAATTTATCATTGAACCTACAAAAATATTTTTCAGTTTTTACTTCTCAGGAACTACAAAACAGACTCCAAAAGTGGGGCTTACTATCAGTGTTTTCCATTTGTACTAGCCGAAGTTTAAAAACAAAGGAAGAAAAAAAAATGTGAAAAGCAGATAATTTGCTTTTCTATAGTAGTGGACCTTTCTGATTACTTTTAGGAAAATATTTTGGAAGGATAACAACATTAAGAGGGCAAATAGAGCAGAAAGTTTCAGCTATGCCATGTCAGGTCTCTCAAATTAAGCAATTACAGGAATATTATATTTATTAATTCCAGTGCTCAAGATACTACTACTTTTAAACAAGATTAAATTCTTGCATCTGTTCAAGTACACTCAGAGCAGCAAGACAGAAACCTTGGGCTTTTAATCTCATGTCTCAGTAAAGGACAAGAAGGAGGATCTGGGTAACAAGGCCAGTCAGCCTTCCCTGTCCCTGGAAAAGTTACGGAGCAACTAATCCTGGAACCACTTCCAGACACACGAAAAACAACAAGGAGACTTGAAGTAGTCAGTAATGGGGAACTCATGTTTCACCAACTTGATAACCTTTTATGATGAAATGACTGGCTCAACAGGTGAAAGAAGAGCAGTAGATAGTGTTTACCTTGACGCTAGTGAGGCTTCTAACAGGATCTCCCCGAATATTGTCATAGGGGAGCTGAAGAAGTATGGGCTGGATGAGAAGACAAGGAGGTGCAGCACTGAAAATTGATTGAATGGCCAGGCTCAGATGTCGGTGATCAGTGGCACAAAGCCTAGTTGGAGGTCAGCAACTAGGAGTGCACCCTATGGGTCAGTGCAGTGCCCAATCCCGTCTAACATCTTCATGAATGATCTGGATGATGGGGTGGAGTTCAGCAACTTTACAGATGATGCAGAACAGGGAGAAGTGGCTAGTACACCACCAGGTGATGCTGCCAACCAGAGCGACCTAGACAGGCTGGAGAAATTGGCTGAAGGAACCTCATGAAGTTCAACAAGGGCAAGTACAAAGACCTGCCTCTGGGGAGGAAGAGCTCCAGGCACCAGTGCGTTCTGGGGAACACCCAGACAGAAAGCAGCTGGGTGGAGAAGGAACACAGGGGTCCTGGTGGACACCAAGTTGAATGTGAGCCAGCGATGAGCCCTGGCTGCAAAGACAGCTAAGGGTATCCTTACCCACATTAGGAGAGGTGTCGCCAGCAGGTCGAGGGAGGCAATCCTTCCCCTTCACTCAGCGCTGGTGAGGCCACACCTGGAGGGCTGTACTGGAGCATCCAGACCCGTCACAAGAGACACAGGGACATACTGGATAGAGTCCAGCAAAGAGCTATCAAAAGTGAAGGGACAGAAGCTGCTCTCCTACAATGAAAGGCTGAAAGAATGAGGACAGATCAGCCTGAAGAAAGACAATGATTGGTAGGAGTGGGTTGCGATTTCTCATCAGTGTATACAACTGCCTGAACGGAAGGTATAAAGACAGACTGACTCAGGCTCTTTCTAGTTGTGCCCAGTGGCAGGACCGGAGGCAATGGGCATAAAACTGAAACACAGAAGGTTCTATCTGAGCATCAGGAAATACTATTTCATGGTGAGGGTGATGGAGCACTGGCACAGGTTGCCCACAGAGACTGTGGAGTCTCCGTCCTTGGCAGTATTCAAAAGCCACCCAGACATGGTACTGGGCAGCCAGTTCTAGGTGTCTCTGCTTAAGAAGAGGGTTGTATCAAATGACCTTCAGAGGTCCCTTCTAATTTGAACCATTCCATGATTCTCTGAAACTCTACCATCACAGGAGTCAAGACAACTCTAGGGTACGGCCCTTGTCTTGTTAGCAAAAATACTCTGGGATATAATTTCAACATAAGTAATGGAAGAGATTTTAAGCAAAGTCTGAAACAGACAGGAATAAGAAGGTAATTTTAAAAAAACAGCAAAAGTAAATTGATTTGAGGCTGCTCTGCCTCAGTTAAGATTGAAAAAAAGGTAGCTCATAAGATAACCTGGAACTGTTATATGGAAGTGGCACTATCTGCTTCAAATGGCACATACATAAAAAGCACCTCCTCCATCAAAGAACCGGGACACTGCAAATGGTTACATGAATGTCTCCTGCTGGAAAGAAAAAGTGAAGAGACTCACAACACAGGCAGCAAGCTCATTTTATGTTACTCTGCCTACCACTTGTCAGTTATAAGTGAGTGCAAATGGCTCTCACTGCTCAGCTTGCCTTTCAGTGGTCCACATTCACAGTCCAGTTCACAGCCTAAGAACGTGTTACTGAGAAATTCAGATGGCTAAGCTCTGATTGCTTCTTTCTACTCTCATCTGCAAAATACTTTCTTAAAAGGAAAACAACCTTAAGAAAAATTGTTAGAAACTCTTATATTACCTAAGGATGCCACCTAGGGACGTTCATAGCATGTAGCATGGAGCCTACACTTCAAAAAAACAAGTGCTGCATGAGAACAACGAGACACATATGCAAAGGTTTTAAAGAGCTTTTTTTACTTTGTCAACAGGGAACTTTACCTTTCTGTGGTATCCTGAATGATTCCTATAGCATCTATAGATAGATGTTCTTCCTTTTCTTCCTTGCTGTGGCAGTTAGGTGATGTTGCAGAGGAACAGACTGCTCCAGACTTCATACTTCTTGGATGTATGTCTAAACTGTCATTCTCAGCCAAATCCTTCACAGACAACAATATTTCCATGTCATCCTGAGATTTGAGAAAAAAAGCAACCAACAATATTAGCAAAAAATACATTACCTTTAAAATAAAGCACTGCACTTTATGATCAAGACATCAATCTGAGGCAAAACTTTGCTTAAAACTTTCAAGTAGTTTACGGAAGCCATCACTACTCCTTGTTCCTTTAAAGAAGGTATTTACCTATAATCAATACAGTCTTTCATAAGCAATGACCAAAGGGTTCAGAAGAAATTCAGCAACAGATTAATGGCATGCAAGTAGCTATCCATGTATCTTGAACATCAATGAAATTTCTAAGTGTAACTGAAGTCTTTAGATTTGTTAACAAAAGTCTGTCTGTTATCAATGTACCATGAACCATATTTCAGAAGACCTCCTATTAGGGTGCAAACACTAATCAAGAATGCAATTTCTATCGCTCCAAAAATAATTCATGCATTTAAAACAGTTTATTTAGATGTCTTAAAAACAGCTGGTGTAGAACCAAGCATCATAAAATATAGTCAGAAATACCTGAAGTCTCACTTTTGAGGAAGGAGATTCCTCTGCCACAGACAGATTCTCTCCTTTATTAGTTTCTTCCTCATCTGGAGCAGTACATTTTTGTGCAGCTGGAGATTCCTTTTCACTATATGCTCTTTCTAGGTTTGGTTTAGTACTCAGGGATCCATTCCTTATGAATTGTCCCAGTTTCGGAGTACCCACTTCTTGGGAAGGCAATTTTTCAGCACTAGTGAATTTGAAGTGAACAAACAAAACCAGAAACACTCAGAAAAACATGTCACTTGACTTTGGTCGGGAGGAGCAAAAAGCAATTCTATATTAAAGTTTGAAACAATACTTATATAGGAGGGTTAGAGACGGATACACTATTTTGTTTAAAGTCAAGAAAATTACCTTAAAAATAGATATATGTTTCTCATTTTGGGCACTTACGGTTAACATGTGAGAAGGAATAATAAGATTTCTTTGTCATGGCATTTTTAACATCAAGAAAACAGTTACGTTACTAACTGTACCAACACCAAGGTACTTGCAGTCTAATACATGCTGCAGAGCTTCTTATATCAAGAGAAGCAATAAACAGGACACACTGGGATCAATGAAAGACAGATCTCTGACATTTTGCAGAACTTATATCTGTCACATATATGATAGCTTTATACGCAAATAACAACTCTACAAAAAAAACCCCGGTCAAAAAGAAGTATGAGCTCCTACAGACCGGTACGTACCAGTTCAACAGTAAGTAGCTCAGCTCAACCAAAAAAGTGCTCTGAAATACATGGGAAGCTGCCTGTAGGCACTGAAAATTAAACACTGGGGCAAAACAGGTAATAAGGAACAACGCAATTCATCAGATGAAAGCTTTTCAAATCTAATTTTGCTGAACTCTAAGCTCACCTGCTTTGCTCACTCAGTATGTTTTCGGAAATAGAGAGCACCTGAGGCACCTCTCGCTGTTCCTGTTCGTCTTTGCTTGATACATCTGCTTGACACAATACAGCTTCATTTTCACCCTTTATATTTACAGTTAAAAAAATGAAGAAAAAGAGAATCAAGCAAGTTTCGAAAACAGACATGTATCTTTTTTATACAATAAACTACAGATATGTGTTATTTTCCCAATCTGAATCAAGAGAAGAAATCATGTTATATTTATTGAGGGCAATCTATCTGAGCATGTAATTCAATTTACAGGTGAGCAAAAACAGAAGTCTTTTTAGTCCTGGGCTACCTAGAGTTAGGCTCTTAAACACTATACAGACCTAAGTATTACAGGTAACACTTTGTATTTAGCCTCCATCAGCTCTCTATTACATGAAGCAGTACTGAAACAAAATACTTTGGTAAACAGAAAAATCCTTGAAACAAAATACTTTGGTAAACAGGAAAATCTTTGAAAATTGGACACTGCAGAGCCAAGCACAGACACACCCAAGCCACTATAACATACCCTCAGACTCTCAAGGGCTTATTAGTTTTAATTCTGCATTTGCCACACTGGTTCCTTGAAGACGCCACTTGAACTCATCCTTCAGTGCTCCAGCTCTGCAACAGCTTTATTAGTGCAGAGGAACATCAGACCCACTGTGGATGTGCAGGTTTGCATGTGCACATGTGCATGGCCCACAGGCCACAGGTCTAGAGGAGCCAAAGCTGAACTGCAAGCAACTCTCTCAGCTGGGGATGAGCTGACCCTGTGGCATGGAGAGGAAAAGTACAGGTGCGGTGCACTCATGCTCCTCTGGGAAGGCACGAGTACTCTACGCTAGGTCTACACAGGTTCAAGAAAAAACATCCAGTTACAACCACTCCAGTAAGTCGGTCACTCTTACAAAGCTTCAATATACTTCAGATATGGCAAGCACGCAGACATGCCAACATCCACGACGTGATTCACAAGTAACCCACAAAATGATTAGAGAGTTCAACCCACTACAATGGCTTTTGAGGATTTTAATAGCTTGTACAGTGCCTAGTAAAGCGTCTGTGGGGATACACAGTGTAGGTGAATAACTCAGTTTACCTGTGTAAAGTATAGAAGCATCAGGCACCGTAATGGTAGAGCCAGTCAAAGCTTACCAAGTTAATGTATTTTTTTAATAAACAAAACCAGTTATCCTCTGCCTTCCCTTGATTGCTCAGCATAGACTTGATTCATCCAAACAGGAAAATAAAACGAGCAAAAAAAGCTAATTGTTATGTATTGCAATACAAAACACGTTTTTTCTAGAGTTTACCTTCAATGTGCAAAACCCTTTCTTCTATCATGCAATCCAATCAAAATCAGATCCCCATTTTCCAGAAGACATTAGTAGAATACAAGATCTAGACTTTATCAATTTCCTGTCTGCACTACTGCAACACAAAGACTATGGGGATTTTTTCATCTGGTATAGTGTCTCAGCTTCAAGGAATGCAACTTAAACGCTGTAATTTAACTACATAAAACAGTACACACAACTTGGAACCATACTTCTGAAGGCAAAGCAGTTATTCTGAAGACTTACGATGGCAGACTCAGCTTTTTCCAACACCAATTGCTGTGCTTCAGACTTCTCCCTCTTATTTTCTGATATTTGTAACTCCTTCCTTTTGACAGTTCTTTCCAGGTTTGGCTTGTACCTCTGGAATCTGCTCTTCACTATCTGGACAGGTTGGAGAGGTCTTTGTTTACTTTCTTCTTCAGTGGTATTTCTGCTATCAAGTCAGACAGGAAAAAAAATAAACCCAAAACTTAAAAAAAAGTTTGTCACTGTAACACAGTTTCATTATATTTACACATAAGAAACAACTTAGTTTTTTTAAAAGAAACCATGTAAACAAAGTTCTGCTCAGTTCAAACTAAACACAAAACTTTGTTTCAGCAAAAACTTCAAAGCTCAGGTGTCCAAACTACTCCACAACAGAACTAACTAACTCACTAGAAGAATTAAATTACTGTCTCCTTATTACTATAAAGCCAAAGTAATTTTCACATGGTTACTCCAGAAAAACAAAACAGTATTCCTTTGATTACATGACATAAAATCTTATCTTCAGATGACAAAAGAATCGTAAAGTGAATGCTCATTAATGTAATGCTTAGCATAGAAGTAACTGTAATTTTAGTATCACTAGTGATAAAATTATGAAAACTGGGGTTTTTTAATTATTATTTTTATTAGATTTTCTTTGCCATTTAGCAGTCCATCAGCACAACTATTTCCTTTTCAAATACTTTCATTGTTACAGTCAAGAATAGAAGTAGCTAAGCCCTTACTCTTCACTAGTAGCTGAAGTATCATCTTGACTAATTTCAGGTCGACAAAACTCAAGTTCACCATCCTCTGATCTTGAAAAAGTCTTTGGGGACTTACAACTTGGCCTCTCAGCAGCCTCCTGACAGCCAAGTGACTTCTCCTTTCCTAAGGATTCCAGTGGTTGCAGGACATCATATTTTGCTGCTGTCTGAAAAATGTAAACACGAGAACCAGAAAAAATCATGATACTAAACCAAAATGAGACATTGTGATGTCCATAAAATTTGGTAGCAATCACTCTCTGAGGTGTTTCCTGCAAAAACCCCTCTAACTGCTCGCTAATAATGTCCAGTCTTTTCAGGATAAAGACATATTTGTTTCTTTTAAACAGAACAGCTTAAAAACTAGATTTCCTCTTTGCCAACTTCTAGGAATACTTTTCTTTCTTCAGTGTCAACTCTACAAGGCCACCTCAGATCAAAAAGACATCTGGAAGCATAACAAGAGACACAGATGGGTGTAAACTTTTTCTCCTCACATGCAAGTAAGTGGGAAGCAGAGGAGTTTTCAAGCAGAAAATTTTAGCTTTTGAAAAAATTGATTCAAAAAAGATTAACTTCGCAGTTTTAAAATTATCAGTATTTTATTTCACAAACCCCAAAGCTCAAATATAAGCAAAGGGAAAAAAAAAAAGCCTTACATCTGTATCAGGAAGGATGCTACATTCACTATCAGACTGTGTTGAGCTTTCTTCTTTATTGGTATCTTTCTGTGACACACATTTTTTATTTACATCCAGCAGTTCTTTCCTACTAGTTGTTGTTCTTAAATTTGGCTTTGGTCTCTGGAATCGACTCCTCAGAATCCGAGCTGATGGTACAACAGTTTTCTCCTCTTCCTTTCGAGGACCAGACTCCCTACAATAACAAACAAAAGAACAATTAAAGCCACAGGACAGCAGTGGTTCTTCAGGTCATGCATGACACACTTGCATGTAGCTCTCTTTAGTGCAGTAGCCAACCATAAAAATCCTTAGCTTTCTTAAAGCAATAACAAAGTTACTGACATTGTAAAAAAAAGATCCAATAAAAGCACATCAAATGTCACCAAAAATCTGTGTTTCTTATTAACACCTTGAAAAGAGTCAGGGCTGGGCTGGCCACTAAATGCTGACAGATGTTCTCTAACCCTTCTTTCTCCCCAAAGGGGAAGGAAAAGGAAATGAGGCAGAGAGATATGGATTGAAAAAGAAAATTCAAACAGCTTTAATGAAGCAATAATAGAAATAATAAGGAAATAATAGTGAACTATATACATAGATGCAAAACCAGTATCAAATCTGACTCCCTCCTGATATGGATGCTGTAGAGCATGCAGCACTGGGGAAGCCCCAGCTCAGCAGCAGAGGGGAGGCTGGATAGGTGAGCTGGATTTGGGAACCCAGGGCTTGGATCGAGAGCAGAAGAACAGACAGAGTCCTTCTTGGATGCCAGCCATTGAAGAATAGAGCTTAGCACCTGTGATCCCTTAGTTTTACACTGAATATGATGTATATGGAATGGAATACTCTCATTGGTCACCTGTCCTGTCTAGTCCTCACCTTTTACTTCCTTGTGACCATTTATTTCCCAGCACCCCCAGCATGGCACACATCACAAGAACCAGCAGTGACCTTGGTCACTACAGGTGCATTTATAAGCGAGAGCCTGTCTGCATCCCAGTCCCAGGCAGTGACTGCAAACATCAGGTGTTATCACTGCTGGTAGCAGGCACTGTCTGCAAAAACAAGCTGCGAACTGCAGAAAGTGCAGCCTCTTGCAGGGAACTGAGCTGAGAATTAAAATCACTGAACTGAATTGATTCTCTTTAGCTCAAATGAGGACATACATAAGCAAAGTTAAAAAAAATATGCCATTTCAGAACAACTGCAACTTCCTATCACACTCTGAGAGGAACTATCACACTCTTTGAGAGGAAAATAAACATTTTACAAATGCCTTTGTCTAATCATGTTTAAAGCTGTCCAGTAGATTAACAGAATTTTTTAATTATTAAATGGCACTTTCATAGGAAACAAAATCTTATACTCAAGAATTTACATAAGCATATAGGGGTGCACTGCTCGCATCAACGTGGAGAGATAACCACAGGAATTGAGCATCAGAAGAATGTATTTATTTGAAAACTGGGCTCACAGTCTAAAGACCAAATTAATATCCAATAGCATATAAATTTAATGCTTCTGAGCTCTTGGAGTTTTGTTTAAGTCTAGTAGTGTCTTAATTAAACATCTCATTATAAATAAAAAGCTTGGTTTTAATACTGGAGTTGAATGTAGAAGTGTATGGATCGTTTTTATCCATCCCTTCTCTCCACTTAAAAAATAACCTTACCTTGTATCCAAATCCAAAAGCTGTTTCAAGACATTTGACAACCCCTTTTCACTTTCACAGCTTTCTGCTTCTGAGGACTTTTCTTGGGAACGCTGCCTTGTATGTACTGAGTTCATCTCAGAATCTGTAGAAACATTCCCTTCTAACAACACATTGCATGGCTGACTGTCTTCATGAATCATCACAATCTAAAAGGAATAAAAGTTGCACTCTACTGAGACAAAAGATTTGCTCAACCTCTGTTGTAGAAGAGCAGAGGGAGAAGACAAAGTTTATTTTATTATCTCTTACAAAAACACTCAAAAAGATCTCTCTTGCTTTCTGCACATCCAACTAGTATCAATGGATACTATAAAAGTGAAATTTTTTTTATTTTATATATACTTTCTATTTCAAGTGGTCTCTTTCCCAAGAGACATTTTTCTCTGCATTCTTCATCATGAATAACACCAAAAAGGGAGGTACAATAAGAGAACCTAAGCGCAAGCACCAGGACATTTTATGACAATTCTATTTACTCTGAAAGAATACAGAAAGCAGGCAAGGGCTACGCTTACAAGTTATCTGGTGTGTACCCAGACTTTTCTTACTAAAGGTTTCTACTTAGGGCCCAGCAAAACAGCGTGTCTAAGCAATGGCTCAAGAAACTTACATTTTTGAGGCACGGATCACTGTCTTCAGCCCTATGGTGTATCACACCTTCTTCTATTTCACCACCTTCAGTTTTCTCCTCCTTAGAATCTTTTTCATCTGTCAGTTCTTTTTGCCTTGCAACAGCTCCTCCTAGATTTGGTTTTGGTCTTTGCACTCTGCCTCTCTTCAGAGGTGCTTGTTTCAGCACACGCTGACTGCCGTCCTCTTGTAAACCAGCTGTTTCATTAGACCTGGAAAAATGAGATCCATGAGTACATACCACATCTGGAAGTGGGGGGAGTCTTGGAAAACTGAGTTTCTTTGTTGTTGGTGGTGTTTTTTTGTTTCTTTGTTCCGGTTTTTTGTTTAGACCATTACTAACACATACTTATCTAAAATGGAGGTATGCATTACTACTTCCTGAAACAGTAAAGTTGGAAGTGTATCTGTTAGAGGCTGAAGAAGTACCTGACAAATTTAAACTTATGCTTGCCCTGTGCTTTTTCTTTCCTCACTGGAGACAGGATATCACACAAGAGAGACCTTATTCTGACTCATATTGGCTCTTCTTGTATTCCTATTTGGTCTAGAGGCAGATGCACCTAATTTAATCAAGGGTTAAAAATCACAAACATTCAGAAAATACATAAATAACTACATTGTCTTACTAAAAAAACCATCAGATGCACATTATCACAACTGTCAGATGCTTCTATGCCCTTCTACCCTAAGCACCAAGTTAAACAGCACGTTAATGAAAGAAATAACTGCTCTTCTGGCAGATTATCAAACCTAGTTTACCACCCTCCACCCTCCTCAACTATATCCTTTTTAAAATAACCTTCGGGGGTGGGTTTTTTGGTGGTGGAAGTGTTGATTTTTAATTATTTTTTGTTTCTTTGTTGGGTAGTCTTTTTTGGTGTGTGTTGTTTGGGGCTGTGTTTTTTCCTTTTTACAATCTCTCCTGCAAAATATATTCTTCCTTTTACACTACAGCTGCCATTTTTCCACTGAAAAAAACCCCACAAGATACATTTCTTCACTTCTTCATTAACATGTGCATTAAAGTGCTTGCATTGGAATTTTTTTCTCCTAATACTAGATACCTAATACTTAACTACACCTTAAGAATAATCACTTATTCCAATTATTTAAATACTTAACTACTGAAACTGAGACATTTCAGTATTAAAGCTAGTGGAGATGGCTTGTTATAGTTTTCAAGGGACAAACATCAGGAGTTTTTGTGTTTATTATGACATCTTATTTAAAAGCACTACTTTAAACCCAAAAATGTTTAATCTATTTTGTGCTTTAAAAAAAATCCTATTCTTCCCTCAGTTTGTCTCACTACAGAAGTTTCTTCAGAAACTCCTATAATTACCATACTATGTAATCCTACTCAAAGTGACATGAATGGCAAACTGCTGGAGTGCAGCACTTCTTGTCATTTTTAACATACTTACTGAGACATCAGCTCCAGGACTTTAACATCTTTTTCTGCAACTTCTTCACTATTACTTTGGTCAGTGTTCTGAATAGAAATAGAACATTAATATCTTAACTATCTTACATTTATAAAGTACAGCATTACCTAACAGGTCATGTAACTGTCCATACAAAATAGATTGCTTATGACAGGCTCAAACAATTAATTACAAGGTACATTTTACACAGTCAGAAAGGTGCAGTAAAATCTAGATCAAACAATTAAGTCTGTATTCACTGCAGGACATGAAAAACTATTGGCATCTACTGTTTGTGTGACAGGCTCCCAGCTTAGCTGAGGCATCTAAGCAAAATCACACTGTCGCTGCAAGTTAAGTAACTGGCTGATTCCTGGTCACACTGAGGGGAAAAATGAAAGAAGATTAAAAAAAAGGTAACATTGCTATTGCATCTAGTCACTTTGTAGCTGACACATTATCTCCACTTACATTACTCTGTTAAATACCTTTTTGGTTTCCCCCTTAGGTTGTGGATGGGATGCCTCAGCACTTCGTGCATCCTTTTCAGGCTCTTCCTTCCTTCCAGATGCTCTTGTAACATTAGGCTTAAATCTCTGTCGACATTCTCTAACTATTGTCTTTGCAATTACAGGTTTTTCAGGTTCTCTGCACAAAGGATCCACAACAGTAAAATTGACTCCAAAATATTCAAAACTATGTAATATTCGATGACCTGCACAGCTCTCTCTAATGGAATTTGGGCAAATTTTCACAAAAACTTGTGCAAGTTTCTTCACGTAAGAACTAAGCTTTGTTTAACCTTATAGAGTGCAGAAACTCAATTTATCTACCCAATAAAAAGATACAAATTTATCAACCAGGGGAGGAAGCTAACTACGCTGCATGCCACAGCTGCTTCTGCAAGTATCAGAAGCAGAGCCATCAGGTGGCAACTGGGAGGAAGGCAAAACTATAGTTAGCATTTTCCCTTCTTCTTGCTCCCAAATTCTAAGCATAATTGGTACTTCATAAAGTAATGCCTTCCTCATTTTTCTGGAAAGAAAGACACACCTTCTACCACAGTACCAGTTGTTATCACCCAAGAGAATGTCAAAGTAAAATTTAAAATTTATATTGAAACTTCACAATTATTGTTGATTTTAAATAACAGAATTAACAATTTTATTATTAATAATTCTGATTATATAGAATACATTAACGATGATTAGTTTATTCCAGGAAACTGGTAAAGCAATCACTTACTCAGATTTAGTATCCAAATCCATGTTCTCTAATTCTGTGGCTTCACTTCTATTTCTTCTGCTGTCTTCCTCAGAGCACTGGAATTAAGGCAAAGAACATTACTCATGGACAAGTGTTCAGGTACCTCAGAAGCAGCTCTCAGAATACGAGTTATTAGAGTGTGGCTAATTCACACTATCAGCATTGATAAAAGCAGATATGGCATCAAGAGCACAGCATATTAAGCAATATTCCTCCTGACCTTTTCATCTGCTTTCACAAGGTCTGAAGAGGAACCCTCGGCCTCCGTTTTCTTCTGGATTGCTGCTTCTCTCCTTCCAGATGATCTCACTAAATTTGGCTTAGGTCTTTGCAAACGTCCTCTGTCCGCTGGCTTTTCAGTTTTCCTTAAGCTATAAAAAGAGGTGGCATACATTATTACCAAAGATAAAGTATTATATCGTCTAAGATGTACTTCAAGAGCACCTCAAACTGCATATTATAGCAAAACAATAAACTGAAAAAAATCATATCACATCTTCCTGATATTAGAAGATAGATTACTACTTAATGCATAGTGTCAAATAACTTTCAGGGGAATCTACTTAAAAATGTTTGATGGAAGCATTCTTGCTGTTAAAGAAATAGGAATACCTCTTCTCCTAGGGATCCACGACTGATGTGTCAATAGGCTTACTGATTTCTATAGAAACAACAGCAATCTGCTCCAAAGTAGAGCAGATTTGCTTTATGTACAAAACTTTGCATCTGCCTCTCCTGTCTCTGCACCCACCTTTCAAAGCTATCTCAGAGAACTATGAATCTCTGTTTTCAAATATCTTATCCTACTGACAACACCCACACATTACTGAGGAACGGGGTAGATCAATCTGTGTCTTTAACTACTGCAGTAGGGTGTACCATGATTTGCACACTGTTTTACAGAGCCTACAGCTATCAATTATCTTCAGATTAGGAACTACAACCTTCTCTTATATTCTTCCTAGGACAGGACAAATAAAGCTCTGACAGTCTTTACCATAAAAGTGAGCTGCCCTTCAGTAAGGAAGAGGCAGAAGCATAAAAAGCAATTTAGCATTAACTAGTAGCCCATCCCTAAATCACCTTAAAAAAATTATGTCATAGTATAGGAAGTCACTGATCACGCAGAAAATGAAACTTTAGGCACAGGCTTTTTAGAAATCATTGCTCAGTTACAGCAATAAGCATAAAAAATAGTCACAAAGATTAACTTTATACAAGAGAACATATACAACAAAGACATATTGGAGGTGTCTCTCAATCTAGACCACTGCACTGAGTTCCAAAGAGCAAAGTTTCCAATCAGGAAGGTATGAATGCACCATGTACATGACGAGTATGGCTAACAAGTTCTGATGGACAGCTATGAATTTCAAAGAATACAGTGAAGCCTTTTTATTAAAAAGATAAATAAATAAACTTTCACAACCCAACAACTGGCAGAACTTCTTCAGAGAAATCTCGCATTGCTGACTGCAGAGGCGTTAACTTTTTTCTAAGATTAGTTAAGTCTTTCTCCTCATTACTTTGTAATATTTTAAATGTCAGTCAAAGCACTGCTCCTCAGTGGTCTAAATATCTGTCGAATAACCTCACTGAATACGCAAAAGATAATGATCTAGCATGTAGCCCAACCTACTACAGTTGATCAGAACTATATTCAAATTAAGTAAATACCAGTTCAGCTCAAGTAATACTGCAAAGTAAGATAATTCTACTTACGTGATTTCAGGCTGAGAATCACTTTCTGATGGACTCTGCTTTTCGCTTGGTCTATATAAGTCATGTAGTACATCTTTGTTCTGAGTAAAGAAAAAAATTGTTTTAGAAAAGAATCGGTAAAATTAGAACTCTAATGTAAAGAAAAGCAGAAAACAAGAACAAGAGTCACAGAACGGTTGAGGTTGGAAGGGTCCTCTAAAGGTCATCTGGTCCAACCTCCCTGCTCAAGCAGAGACACCTAGAACTGGCTGCCCAATACCATGTTCAGGCAGCTTTTGAATACTGCCAAGGATGGAGACTCCACAGTCTCTCTAGGCAACCTGTGACAGGAAGCTCCTGTGTGCCGGTTTATACCCATTGCCTCTGGTCCTGTCACTGGCCACCACTGCAAAGAGCCTGGTTCCATCCTCTTTGCACCCTCTCTTTGAGTTTTTTAAGAGATATTGAAAAGATCCTCCCAAGCCATCTCCTTTTCTGGGCTGAACTGTCCCTGCTGCCTCAGCCTTTCATCACAGGAGAGATGCTTCCAGTCCCTTCACCATCCTTACGGCCCTTTGACAGGCTATCTTCAGCACGTTCATGTCTCTCTACCAGGAACCCAGAGCTGGTCACAGCACTCCAGGTGTGGCCTCACCAGCGCTGAGTGGAGGAGAAGGATCACCTCCCTCAACCTGCTGGCAACACCTCTCCTAATGCACACAGGACACCTTTAGCTGTCTTTGTAGCCAGCGCCCACTGACGACTCACATTCAAACTGGTGTTTGCCAGGACCCCCATGTTCCTTCTCCAGTACTCAGGCTACTGACATCACTGTAATAGGCTGGTGTACACAGCACATTGCCCTGTTCAGTGCACTGATTTTTATAAATATTATTCCAACTGATATCCGAAGATTGTATTCTTACAACATTTCCAACTACATGCATTCAATATTTACAAAAATCCTAAGTAGCTAATTTTCCACTAAGATAAAGACATTATTTTTCTAAAACAAAGGCCAAAGGACAAATAATTTGCCCATCACATTAGGGAAACAGCAACACTTCGAATTTCTTAATCTCTCACCACAAACTTCAGCCATAAGACCACTCTTCATCTTAGAAAAGACAAGAGAAAGGCATTCATTTCCCCTCAGCACAAATCTCTAAACAGTATCATATTATGTTCCAAAAATGACAATGATGCAAGGATGGAAGGATGATCAGAGGAGTAGAACTTTCCCTATATGAGGAGAAATCTACAACTGGGACTCTCCAGCTGGAAAACACTCTTGTTAGAGAGAGGAAAAAGTGGCGTTATAAACAAGAATACCTTTGGAGATGATGAACAGGAACATAACAATGGAAGTACAGGTCACCTTATACTACCAGGCATCAGGTTTATAACAATCCAAAGAATACAGTTCTTCTATTAAGCAAATAATTAGAAGAATGAGCTCTCAGCTGTAGTATGCAATTCATCACAAATGTAGAGACAGATGCAAAAAAGCAGCTAGGAAAACTCATGAGTAAAGAGGTGCACCAAGTGCTCCTAAAGAAGCCAGATGCAATTTTGGTAAGATTCTAACCGCTGGGCCTGATCATAAACATGCCCAAAGAAAGATCAGTTTTGGTCCATTTTCTTATATTCTTCTCCTGAAACACTTTGTGACAGCCAGTATGAATGGACAAGAGCCTACACATTCTGCAGCAGCACAAACAACCCAATGATCATCCTGCTCGTATCAACTTCCAACATCATGCAAGCAAGCAAAATCTCGCTTCAAGGTTTTACTGTTGTTATTGTTCTGCTTTGCTTTCAAATAATTAAACTGTTGAGCTGTGTTGTCTAGGAGATAAGCCAGTCATACACAGTATACTCTCAAGAAATTTAGTAAAACAGATAACCCATTAAAGCTATCTGAACTGGCAGTATTTGAATTTTGGTGACGTTCTCACGCTTGTTACCTTTTTTCCACCTAGTGGTAAATATGTCACAAAAACAACCCTAAATCAGCTTTGATTTACAAAAATACTTTTAAGAGTAAAGAGCAAGATCTTGAGAAGAAGTACATAAAAAAACCAAAATACCTCTGTTTCTCTAATTTCTGCAGATTGTCCTTCTTTGCTTCTAATCTTGGAAACTGGTAAATCTGATACCTGGCTTTCCTGTGATGTACCATCTCCAGTATCTAGTGTTCTCAGTTTAGCAGGTTCCATTTCTAGTATAACACCATTGCTAGCTTCAAAGCTAAAAACAAAAGCACACAATAATATTACATTAGGGTGTGATAATAAAAAGGCTATTATTGGTTAGAGACAGTTCAAGCTGCACAGAAAAAGTATGCCATTTTGACATTTAGTATCTATGCATGTTTCAGAGAATCTGAAAAATGTTACCGGTATTTGCAGGATGTGAGCTTTAAAACAACTTCTGTGCTTTTGCTAGGCTATTACAAGAAGATGTTAAAATCCCATCTGAATATTCCAGATTAGATAGTTTTTTAAAACTGACTTTATTAAACATTGTATGCAGAAATTTTTTTGGCGTTGATCTTCTGTAATAACCTGTTGAATTCAGAAGACAGATACTGTTCCTTCATATACTTCCAATGTGGTATTAAAGCATATGAAACTTTCTAGCAAGGGAATCTGTATGGAATAGCAAACAATTACAATACAGCTAAATACAATACATGCACAATTCAGAACAGCACTAATAACTTCATAATGACTTTTTACATTTACCACTTTCTTATATAACAAGTTTAATAAAACAAACATTCACTTTGTAGTAAAAGAATGCCTAAAAGCGAAACTAAAAGCTTGCCTCTCACCCAGGTTCTGCACAGAAGAAGTCCAACCAACATTCCTTTCCACCAAAAACATCTTACCAAAACCAGAGATAGATTCAAAGGGTATAGCAACATTACCAAGCAGTGCTTTTGAGAGAAATACTACGAGTTAGGATTAGACAACAGTTTTTGTGAGCACTCTAAAAAAACCCCACCAAAACCCAAAAACTTAAGTGAAAGCAGTTTTTCATGGGATTTTAGTATCAATCCAAATTAATTTTGCAAGGGCAGCCCACCAGGGAAGAGAATATATTGAGAGCATAAAACAGCTTACTAAAATCCAGGAGAGTTCTCAGAAATCAAAAACCTGTCCATCCTGTGCTAGGTAGCAGGATAGTAAGCATGGATAAACAATACTAATATTTAAACTATGTTTTATTTTGTCTAAGCTTTCCATTGTAAATGTTACCTGCATAAATTGACATCACTTTCTCTCTCCATTATGTCATCCATTGCTGAACAGGACTGTGAACTTTCTTCCTCTGCATCAGTAGTCTCATCTTGTTTTCCCTTACCGAGGCTATCCAGTTCTCTGCAGGTAGTACGACCATCACTGTTGGCATCACACATCTCTTTTTCTGCTACTGAATAAGAATTAAATCAATTTGGACCATCTGGGCAACATCTTAGAATTCCACTTCTCAAATCCTAGCTACAGTGAATCAAGAGTTAATTTAGGACAAAAACCGATCCCAGTAAAAAATGCCTAAGTTTTAAGATTTAAGAGAGCTGTTCTCAGCTGAAATGAAGTATGTTTAGACTTAGTATGAAAGCTGTTTTTGAAAGGCATTGTTCCATAACCTTCCAGGGCAAACCACTGATATAAACCAAACCCCATGTTCTTATTTTTAAGTTAGCAACATCTTTATATAAAATTTCTATTAGAGCTTTTGAAAGTGAGCATTTTGGCCTTTTACTTTTCTTAGAGGTTTTCCCTTCTTCAGCAATTTCTGAAGGGACAATCATTTCTTCTGGAAGATCCGCCACTTCCTGTTCAAGATCATCTCTTCTCTTCTTCTTTCTCTTTTTTTTTGCCAATGCTGGCTCTAATGCAACCTGTTCTTCTGCCTGTTCAGAAATGTCCAGAGATTCTTCATTTTCTTTCTCAGCTGTCACAGCATCTGCTTCTGTTTCTGCATCAGAAGTTCTGGATTCCTGAAGATCATCTTGATCATTAACAGATTCTGTGCTGGCAGCTTTTGCTATGGAGACAACGCAGTTCCTGGTTAACAGACTGGTGGAGTACTAGGAGCCATAACTCACAAAGATAATCATAAAACATAAATAAAATATAATCATAAATCACAAAAATGCAGCTTCCTGTAAATTCACACATCACTGCCAGTACAGTACAGGGCATATGAGCAGGACCATGAGAGGTCAGACACTGACATAACAAAAAGCTTCAGCACAGACTAACTTCAACCCTACTGCAAAACACGTTCCATACACGGGGCAACGCTTCACCAGGGTAAAGTCAACAGAGAGTGTAAAGCCAACTTAGTGAACACTCTTGCTCGTATTCTTTTCAGCAGATGACACTGTCACTTTTGGATCCAGGAACAATAGTCACTGTTATTCCTGAAAAGAATTACATCTCTCTGCAGAAAGAGGTGATCACAGCTGAAGAAAGTATGTCATGGAAAAGTGATTTTGATCAATGAATATACTGTACTTAATCACTCCTATTTATACAAGAAAGCTGAATTATTATCTAGTTAATAATTTACAAATTCTTTGATCGCTTTAACAAGTTTCCAAAATTCTTCTCCCCCTTCTTTTCAGAAATTTTGTCTCAATCTTTTATTTATGGAGAACATCAACCACCAAGAACCTTTCCCTGTCCTTTCGATTATTCTGATGCAAACTTGTTCCCTATAGTTAAGAAACTCAAAATGCAAGAGAAGTAGAAAGGCACACTCACTGCTTTGCACATAAAGTACCTTTAATCTACCAGTAAAGTCTACAAACAGAATTTCAGTATGTGGTTGTAAGTCCTAACAGGTGTGACATTTTACTTCAGCAAGTCCAAAATTAAGGCTATAGAAAAGCAGCAACTATGTCAATTTTAAGAATTAAGCAGCAATGCTGCTTCACAGATAGCATCCCCTTTAAAAAGGATGTTCACTTTTTTGGGCAACAATACCATTTACAAGAAAATGGGTCCTTGTTGAACAAACAAGTGGACAACCTCACAGAATTACCACGGAATTTATGAAACTGTGTCAGTATAACTGTTCCTAATTTAAGCACGTCTGTGAAAGTCCTTTCTTAGGTACCAAGGTAATAATTCACTATATGGAAATCAATCAACAGTAATTAAACATAATCTTTATCCTTTATTTTGAACAGACCAGAAAACTGAAAAAACTTTTAGAAGACTCCCTGGAAGGAAGCACTCGCTTCAAAGTTAGAGAATCAAACTATAATTAGAGGAGAAACAGAGCCCTTAGAAGAGGGTTTTAGAAGGTGAGAAATGTGTAAATTAAAAGTCACAGAACAGCTTGCCAAAAATACAGGTTTGGCCCAAGGATTCTAAAAGTGAATTCATTAGTAATTCATGAAGATATTTACCAACTGTTAAGTTAGAATATCCCATTTAGAATTATCAGTGCTTCAGACTGTGGAAGAGCACCAATCTCAGTGTGGTCTCACATTCCCGCCAGAGAAAACTGGCTGCTACCAATTTTTACCACCCTGCACACCAGTAAAGTCGATCTGATGAAAAGTTATGCTATAAAGCCATGACCCTCCTGCCCTGTCTGAAATGGGGAAGGAAAAGACCCCCTGCATGATTTTTCCTCTGCTAGCAACACACTACTGAACATCGCTCTGTAATGCTATCTCAAGCATTTTTCTGAAGTACCTTTTGGCTTCTTCCGAGGTCTTGAAGGCTTCTTTTCCTTTGGTTTCTGGCTTTTAACAGTCTTTTGCTTCCTCTTTTCTTCATCTGCTAGGACCTTCTCAAGCAGCTGGGCAAAGAATTCAAAATCAAAGGGACGCTTTTCTTCTATCAGATTAAAGAAATAGAAAAGATTTCAAAGCTAGCAATTTTTCCAAGCTTCTGCTTTTTAAAACAAAGTGGTACATGTTATATTAAAAAGCAAAATTTATATAAATTTAAAGAGATAATTCTTTCTGAAAAATCTGTTAAGCAGGGACTAGAGTTGACATATATGGATTATGGTAGCTTGGTTTTAAAAACAAATAGCAAAAAAGTTACAGTACTTAGCAGGTGAGAAAATTTAAGAAGTGACAAAGACATGAATTGTACTGTATTATCAAGGTATTGACACACAGCTCTAGGACTTAAGTAGCTCATTCAAGTAACACACAAAGGTTTTAAGGATTCTGAAAGCAGTTTACAATAAGTAACCATGCTAGAAATTCCCATGAATCAGAATCATCTTCAACTGAATATATAGGAAAGTTTATATTAACCTCATCTATCAGACATATAAAAAACCCCAGAAATTAAACATCTTTACTGTGAAAACGCTTCCTAAAAATACCTCAGATTCTCCAGCTTCCGAATTCACCTATGATCAAAAACTTTTTCTTACAATTAATTCAAGTAAGGCAAAGCACAAAAATTACTGTGAAAAAAGATGACGACCATTTAATGGCTTATTATATGGTGGAGAACATTACTTACTGAAAGCTTTGTCTATCCTCCATCCATTAGCTTTTTCCTCACGTTTGAACTTGTTCTAAAAGCAAAGGTATACATTACTTTTTCGGTAAGCAGGAAACGCAAAAATATCCTGTACAACACAACAGATCAAGATAAGCCTTCTTCAGTGCAACAAACTTTTCTACCAACTAAAGCTGCTAAAACTTACAAGCACACGCACCAAACTCAATTGTGTAATTAATTTTTAAACATAAAATCTGTCAGCAATAGGTATTATCAGTCATAATTTTTTATTATTTTCAGCATCTTTGTCCTTACTTCCAATCTAAGTGAAGTCTGAAATATCAAAGATTTTCCCAGCAGGATACCATGAAAGAGGCAACACAGAAGATCCTCACCAAACATCCACTTAACACTTACCAACATTCCTGAATCAAAATAAAATTGAGACAGACTCTGTCTCAGTATGCTAGATTTACCATATATATTAATCAGAATTTAACCCAGAAGATTAACCTTTCAGACATTTATTGTCTCTTGGAAACAGGTATTAAAAAAGCACTGCTATAGAGCCAATTAGCATCCACATTATCACGTCTAGATATACTCTATTATATTATATTACGGTTAGGGCATGGTGCTGATAATGCCAAGATCGCGGGTTCGATCCCCATTCGGTCCCCATGTGTTGCCTGATCTAGTTGAGAGGCGTCCCTGCCCATGACAGGGAGGTTGGATTAAATGATCTCTAAGGTTCCTTCCACCCTAGGCCATTCTATGATTCCATTCTATGAATATAAATAATTTTTATATAACATGTATAGTTTTAATTTTAATGTAAGTATCTATTGCATTGTTTTATAAGTTATATATAATATAGTCTGTACAATCTAATACGTATTTATATATGCATATATATATATTTATTTATATATACATATATAAATTGAGAAAGCATGGAATACCAAATTAGAAGTGAAATCAGATGTTGAATTGCTTTATTAAGTGTTTTAATTTTTACCTTAATTTCCGCTCTGGCCCTATGTGGAAACAGTCGTCCAATCAAGGAGAAGTCTGTTCCTACCATACTTATAGCTAAAAAGAACATGTCCGTTTCTGGGGGAAGAAAACAACAAACAAAAAAACAACACAAATCTAAGTACTCAGTTGACCATCCTTCTTGCTATCTAACATGAAAGCACCTATCAAACTGAGTGCAACGAGACGGGTGGTTTTATGGTTACCTACTGTGGCTGCAAGTTCAGAGCTATGAACAGAAAGAACCATCATCTATTATAAAGCTGCAGAATGTGAAATACGTTTTGTAAAGCTAGTAAATCCAAGCTTATCCCCTCCAAACTGCTAATGTTCATTTTTATTATGAACACAATCACAACAAGACATGAAAAAAGCATGTGTAAAAAGACCATCTCTGTCATCATCATCATGGCTGGGCTTCGCAAATGAAGATATGGGAAGGGCTCTACCCACACTTGCTACAAGCGCACTGATGGCTAAAAAGGCCGATGCAGGATATGTAATTACTTGTGAACAGGCATTCCAAGAGCAGCACATCGGACTCGGATGCTAATTTTGCCATCTATTGTTGTGAAAAACCACTTCCAATTATAAAAAGTCTTACACAGTGTTGTCAGCCTAGAGATAATAATTCATTCACAGGCATAATAAAAAGAAAAAACAACTCACCCACTCATAAAAAAACCTGCTGTCCATGTGCACTGAGACCAGTCCACAGAGAGATGGCCTTTACAATTTATTCCTGCCCTTACTGGAAGAACCACGAAGCTAAGCTAAGCTAAGAACTGGTAAGTGTTCCACACAGAGCTCAAATATCTGGGCACCAGAATCCAGAATTATGCTTTTGATAAGGCAGGCTAGAATTTTCACAGCATCTAGAAGTCCACAGCAGGAAAAAAAAAACCACAAAAACCCACAAGTAGCTTACATGTAAGGCATTGGATTTTTTTAAACATGACACTTTTCAGAGTAAACATCAGAGCTCTGCTTGTTGCAAGAGTTTGGACAGTTGAGACTACATCACACGTATGTAGATCCACAGGAAATAAGAATTGTTGAGTACAAAGCATAGACGGAGCACTAAGATTTTTCTGCAGACTCAAAACTTTAAATTATAAATTAACTCACCTTTATTTGACCATGGTTTTGTGTAAAAACTTTTTCTGAAGCTGGAATATGTAGTTGTAGAGCCACGTTCAAAGATGGGATCATTCTCCTCTACCACACGTGGACCTTTTGTTCTTAGAACCTCTACAGTTAAACTGGAAAAGCAAACACACAAAGAGACATATCTGAAAATACTGCTAACAATACATGGTAGTTGTTTATATGCCAGCTATTCAGATCTTTCCTGCCACAAGTCAGAGCTGGTACTGTGTAATCAGATTTAATAACTACATTAAATATGTATTTTAATGAAGAATGTAGAAAGAAATTACTATCCTATTTAGCCTTTGCAAGTAACTTTGATTTTCCCTTTTCATATGATATAGTACAGACAGAAAATTGAGTACCTTCAAAAAAATAAAGTTGTCTTTTTAACATTCAAGAAAATTATGTTAGAATACTTTCTTTTACCAGGACTGCTCTATTCTTGCACATTGGCCTAAACCTCATGCTAATAATAGATTTGAGGAACTCAGTAATTTGATAATCGAAAACTTTAAAAAAGCCACATGCTAAGCAACGTTATTGAAAAAAAATGACAGCTGAATAAAGCAGCAGTATGCACAATGCAACGTTGGAGCAAATCACACTGACATCTGAATAACAGTAAGCAGACACGTGCAGCTGTGAAAAACAAAGACGTTAACTAAATAGAAGACGTTTGCAAGTTTGACAAATACTCAGTACTCATTCACTGTATTAAAACATGACATCTTTGCTGCTGTCTCCTTCTCCAGAAATGTTTCTCACAGAAAAGGTTTGCCCCTACTGAAATGTGGATAGCTGCTGCTCATGTTTTGCCACATATTTGCACGGCTTCCTAAGTGTGCACAGCTCAACTGTCAATATATAAACACACTCACATTTGTCACCATCCAGTGTAACTGTTCTCTACCACAAACAGCAGCAATGGAGCAAATATTGCTCCCGAGTCAGACACAGAACTTGTTACCTTTCTTCATCCAGAATAATTGAACCATCTTCTGCTACTTTCACACGAGGAACTAGAAGTGGACCATCCTGACTCTCCTCCCCATTCTCGGCTTCTTCCTCTTCATCTTCTTCTTCATGATCAGGAGGGCTTTTCTCTTCCTGTCTACAATTTTAAGAGATCAAGCAAAAATATCACTTTTGTTAGAGTTTCAAATGCTGCTCCATGCATCAGATGTTCAACAACTCAATGAACCACCCAGCAAGGCAACCCACTAGCCAGGTAGTCAATACATTAACTCCAGGATCTGCTTATCATTTTATTGTAAAATGGGACAAATCCAAAACCATAATATTCCAAGTAAAATGCTCTTTAATCACCCTTCCCTCTCAAATTACAATTTGTAATAAATAACGGCCGTGATACTGAAACCGTAAAACCCCCGTACATTATTAGTATTAACACAGAAACAAAGTGGGGTTTTTCCAACATCAGAATAAGTACTTCTATCATCAAGACTTACTCTTTCATTTGACCCAGTGCAGAATTTTTTTCTGTTCTCTTTTCTTCTGCCAGTGAAGATCTAGAATTTTACAAAAAGCTAGAGATTAACATTTGTACGGACACATTTCTGCCTCATTCCAAAAAAACTGCTTTTGGCAGATAACGGAGGAAGAAACACAAAGCTTCTTTCAATTCTGCGTACCACATTTAGACTTGAGTCTAACAACCACAACTGCTTAATGAATTTTGCCTTCTTTTGTTGTTGTTATAATCAAGGATAAAAAAAAGTATTTCAAACAGTAATCCATTGTAAGGGTACAGGGAATGTGAGTGCCTCAGTTCCACTACTTGCTTAAGGTCTATTCAGTGTAAAGGGAACAAAAAAAGGAACATGATAAATAAAAGACATAAGCACACAAACATTAACAAGCAGGTGATAAGAGACAGTAACAGAAAAATTCATATGCTACTGGGGGCATGAACAGGACTTGGATAGCTGGCATGATGTTCACATCATTGTTTTTGGTAATCTCAGGAAAAAGGCCTTGCTTTGCCTATGGAAGTCTGTGCAGCAGCTGCATCAGCATTCCCTGTGTACAAGCACCTCCAGGATGCTCGCCCAGCCTTGCTACTGGCAAAACCTGTAAAGGGAACAAGAGCAGCTACTCCTGTCCATCCCACTGGAATGGAGAGACCCTGCGGGTCTGGCAGTGTGTTTTGCACTACAGCATCTAGAAAGGAGAAATGCCTAGCTTCTTGTAGCCCACTAGATCTGGCAGCCATAAATAAAAATATAACAGCAGCTAGTTAAAAAAAAAGGTTTTTATTATTCTGCATTTATACAGAGACAAATCAACACTGGGGACAGGTCCATGGTTTTATATTTCAACAAGTACAGTAATTTCCATTCTCATTTTTGTATTAAGGTGAATAGATGTGAAAATCTCTAGAAACTTTTGTTGGCCCTGCAATAAGACTGCAATTGTGATAATACTTCAGATTTAAGAATTCTCCTTTTCACAATTATTAGATTGCTACAAAAAGAAAAACCGTATACCCCAAGAAGAAAGAGCCTTACTTACTTCATAGGATTGTTTTCTGGCAGGTAGTATATCAAGTCTCTCATGGTCATTTTAGAACGATCTGGTGGAGAACGTCCTTCAATTACTGGAGGCCTATGTTTCAACTGTTTCCATGTTAAAAAAAAAGAAGAAAACCACATCTAAATTCACCCTGAAAGTACTTTGCATTTCACAGATTAATATTTTTCTTTGTTTATGAACTACCCCATGTGGGGAGTTTTGTTGTAACCCCTCCCTGCCCAACAACTGAAATAAGTTTATCTTAAAAATGTCCCTTTGTCAGAGAGGACACCACAGACCTTTAAGTGACCTATCCTCTCAAGAGAAATTCAATACTTGGCACAAGTAAAAGTTAAAAACTACTCAAAATAACAGAACTCTGTGAACAACTAAGTTGAAAGGATATAAGCTACTCAAATTCCCAAGTTTCTAACATCACGTCCCCAACTGCAAAACCTCTAAAACTGTAATGTTTACAATAATGTAACAGCAGGTCTCATGTCACAAAGGCTTGTGAGACTAATCAAATCAAACAACTGGAATTTCTCATGAAACATGTACTATGAGGGAACACAGTACTACTGCTGCTTATAAATAGACTAAACCCATACAGAGTTATGAGATACGACATACTAGCAGCAAGGAGCTGATGATCAACAGAAAACACGACTGCAAAGAGATCATGTATGTGAGGTGAACCACACATCTTTGCCCTTCACAGATCAGCACAGTTCAACACAGAAACCTACCATCCGCTCTTTCTTCAGCTCCTCTTTAAGCATTTCTCTTAACTTCCGAGCTTTGAGGATCCTTTCACGGTCAGAACACATTCGTTTCTCTTTTGCAGGGGCAGGTTTTGCAGGCAGCTTTTCCTCCTGAGTTCCTGATCTTTCCTGTGTTGGTCTTTCCTTGAGTGGGGAGGGTACACTCTTGTGCAAGGCGTCATCATTCTTTTGAGCCGTGACACCTACAGTTTGTTCTTTGTTCACTGATTTTTTTAGTGGGGAAAACTGCGGCACTTGTGGCACTGGTGTTTTCTTTTCAGGCAGCATGGGAAACTTTGAAGAGCTTTCAACATTGGTCTTTTCTGATGGAGAGGAATCCTTCTGAAGTGAATTGCAGCCATCAGAAGCCTGTGATGCTCGCCTCTGCAGTTTTGATGTAGAAAGTTGAGCAGATGAAGGGGAAGGTCCAGCTCTAGGTTTTACAAGATTGGGCATGGTGGAGATTCGTTTTCTTCTCTGTATAGGCATCTCTGCAGGCTTACTAGTTTCTCCAGCATCATGTGAGCTACCAGCCTTGTCATCACTGGAAAATTTAAAAGAGTACTTTGAAATACTTTACAGTGATAAATTTACAACTCTTACTTTCAAGAAGCCTTTATGCATCAATCAGTAAAAAAAATAGCTATATATAAGAAGACACACTAGAACAAACCAGTATCTCGCACTTTCTCATAAACTAATCAGCTGTAAGAACTGGGATATTATTTGCTAATATTAATTAATTAATTAATGTTACTGTTACAAGCTAACCTCATATGCTCCTTCTTCCCTCCCTCCTCTTCCCCTCTTTTGGAAAGCTCTCTACTTTCAGCCGAGAATACCAAACTTAACAAAGCTTTATAGAAAATAACCCACTTAACATAGCTATATGCAACAGGTAGTTTGATGATTTTTGTTAGAATCACTCTGAATGTTCCTCTCAAGACTTTTGCAAGTAGATGATATAGAAACTCTGCATGCCAAAAAACCCTTTAACAGTCAAACTGGCTACTGATGTTCTACTGCTGACACTTAACACATCAAAAGAAGCCTTTCAGAGGCAATAACTTTTGGCTTTCCTGGAAAGCTTTCTTATTTAAAGTATTTTTTCTATTCCTTACACAGAAATAATTTTCAAAGCGTAAGCAGAACTGCCAGCGACTACGATTCTCCTAAATCCGCAGCCTCCTCCAGTGTTCAGCTCCTTGGCTGTTGCTCACAGTAACTGCAGCAGAATTATAACTGAGTCACAAGGAGTTCTTCTGATCTTACATTGGAACAATGCCTTGTTTCTCTACATAGGAACAACCACACCCACGATTCACTTAGCCACCTTCAGAAACGGTCAGAAGCAAATGCCTTTGAAGGAATATAAGAGAAGCAGTTCGTACAGTGAAACTTCTCCAAACCCTCTCCAGCTACTGTCTGCAATTCAGGCAAATGTGGGAGATTATGTTTTTGCATGTAACAGCCTCTGCTAAATAGCTGAATCAAACTCTGAGTTCACAGACATATACAGTACTTAAAAAGGAGTTCAGCAGCTTGGCTACACGGCGTCTGACTGTGTGTTTTGAACGAGATCCTTGCACGTGCCATTCAACACCCCCTGCTTTTTGTACACCAAGTGACAGTGGAAAGTACTTTTTCCTTCCTCTTCTCCATACCACCTGCATTTTGTAGAGTTTTTAATCAGTGCCACACCAGATTTCTGAACAGTTAAATACAATTTAGGAGAAAGAGTATTAAAAAAATAATAATCTTATTCTCAGAGAATTTTCACTTCCCTGATAATCAACAAAACCCATTCAGGATTTAGAAGACTGAAGCAAAGTAACTGACACTACAGATATAAGCTTCAGCAGCTACGAAGGACTGCCCTAGGCTGGAAGGATAAATATGCAAGGTATTTTCACATTTGCCTTTACTTTTCTTGGAGGCCACACAAACACACTCTGTTGTATGTCACCAACTACTGCACTCAGGAAATTAAACTGTGTGACTTCCCTCTTGTGCTCTTCCTGAATCTTCAGAGATAGCCAGGCAGTCAATCTTTAAAATGCATCATCCAGAGAGACAGCTCCCCAAGAAGCTAATACAGCAATAAATCCCTAGGCCTGCTCTCTCCTAGAGCAACCAAAAACTTTAAGAAACAGTTTTTCAGAGAGATTTAGGGTGTCCAAACAGGAGTCAGAAGGAAGCAACTCTCACCTGTGTTTTTCCTACTTGCTCCCAGGACAAAAACTCCCAAGAGTCTCCCAGCAGTTTTATGTTGGATAATACCTTCTCCCTCCAGCTGAGCTGTGGAACCCACCACAGCACTCTATGTGTCTCTTCTTAAGTCATCATTTTCCAAACCAGCACTTTCTGAAATAAGCTCTTTCCTAGCCGCATCCCACACATTTCACTGTGTTTGAAAACTGCGGGTTTGTACACTAAATTCACCGTGAACAGCTTTCATAAAAAACAGTCTTAAATTTCTTTTAACTGCTATACTTTTTCTTTAAGATAGCAGGATGTGGTTTTGTGGATTTGTACACCTGAACATTTTTCACATTTATTGCGGAAAAAAATTTATGAGCCTGTTACTTATATGATAAAGGTCTATTCTTCAAGTCACATGAATGGATCCCTTAGAATATTATCCCTTTCAGAATGACATTGGTGTCTAGTTTTGAAACTTAGATTACACTGAAGCACCTATTAAATTAAAAACACAAAAGTCTTTAGTGAATCTGCTGATCTAGCAACAGTACCACGTGTCCTCATTTGAGCTAAAGAGAGTCAATTCAGTTCAGTGATTTTAATTCTCAGCTCAGTTCTCTGCAAGAGGCTGCACTGTCTGAAGATCGCAGCGTGTTTCTGCAGACAGTGCCTGCTACCAGCAGTGATAACACCTGATGTTTGCAGTTACTGCCTGGGACTGGGATGCAGAAAGGCTCGTGCTTATAATTGCTCCTGTAGTGACCAAGGTCACTGCTGGCTCTTGTGTGCCACGCTGGGGGGGACGGGTAGTAAAAAGGGTTTCAAAAAAGTAAAAGGTGGCACCTCCAGTAAGAAACAGACAGGACAGGTGACTAACAAGAGTACTGCATTCCATCTATGTCATATTCAGTATAAAGCTGAGGGATCATGAGGGCTTAGGCCTCTTTTCGCCTCCTTTCTGCAATGGCTGGCATCCAGGGAGGACTCTATCTCATCTTCTGCCTTTGATCTCAGTCCTGAGTTCCCAAATCCAGTTCCTGGGGCTGCCCCGGTGCTCCCTGCTCTGTAGCATCAGTGGGGACTGATATCGGGGGAGGGAGTCTGGTTCAATATGGGACTCGTATATATGTATACAGTTCACTATTTTTATAATGTCATTATTTCTATTATTGTTTCACTAAAGCTGTTTTAATTTTCTTTTCCAATCCACATCTCTCACCTCATTCCCTTTTCCTTCCCATCTGAGGGGGGAAAAGCTGTTGGAGAGCATCTGTCAGCGTTTAGTGGCTGGCCCAGCCCTGACCCTTGACAGTATGTAATTGAAAAATAGCACCTCTGTCTTCATTTAGGAAAAAATCATGCCATAACAAAAGATCCAGCAACTAATCTCTGTAGCACAGATTTTCTGAATAAAATTTGAAAGAAAAATATCCTTGCAGCACAACACAAGTTTATGTATAAATGATATAAGATACAAGTTGAATAAAATGCATCATGTCTTTACTAAAGATATGCCAAGCCAAACAGTCTGATATCTGAATTTCCACTAACAGAAAACAGGAGGCTTTGTATTATGCCATGAAGAAGAACCTTCATCTAAAAGAACAGAAATATTCATGAAAGATGCAAAATCGACTAGTAAAGATAAGTGAGAAGGTTGTTCCAGAGAGAATTATGAAACTGGGGAAATATACTGAAGAACTAGTCAGGACTGCTTTTGGTGGGGATAGAGTTGATTCTCTTCACGGCAGCTGGTACGGGGCTCTGGTTTGGGTTCGCTCTGGAAACAGTGTTGATAACACAGGGATGTTCTTGCTCTGCCTGAGCAGTGCTCACACAGCATCAAGGCTCCTTCTGCTCCTCACTGCACCAGCGAGGGGGCTAGGGATGCATGAAAAATCAGGAGGGGATGCAGCTGACCGCAGCTGACCCAAGGGATATTCCAAACCATACGACATCAGGCTCAGCATATAAAGCTGGGGGAAGAAGAAGGAAGGGGGGATATTTGGGGTGATGGAGTTTGTCTTCCCAAGTCACTATTACATGTGGCACAGCCCTGCTGTCCTATGGATGGCTGTTCACCTGCCTGCCCACGCGAAGTGTAAAAGGAATTTCTTGCTACCCTTTGCTTGCATGCATGGTTTTTGCTTTACTTTTTGAGGTGTCTTTATCTCAATCTAAGAACTTACGCACTTCTGCCCTTCCAGTTCTCTGCCCACCCCAATGCATGGGAGCAAGCAAGCAGCTGTGTGGGGCTATTAATTCGCGGTCGGAGGTCCTGAAGGTGGTCCTAGGATCAACCTTACTGTGCATTGCTAGTGCAATGAAAACCACTTAATTAAATGAGAAAGGAGAAAGACAGACAGTTCTCCCCCACTAATGCATAAAGAAGTGAACATAAAACTGTAAGTGCTGTAAGAATGCAAAATCAAAGTTATCCAGTTATGGAGTACAAAGAATTTTTGCTGTACACAGCAAACTGGAGCTTCGTTCTGCTCCAGTGCCAGAAAAGCTGAGTATGGGACCACACTAGGCCCCTCCTTTGCAGTATTAACTCATGTTTTACTTCAAGCACCTGCAGCACAGCTGGAGTAGAAAAAAGCCCACAAGTTTTCCTTAGGTTGCAAATGTATCAAACACCCAGAAGTCACCGTCCGATTTCCGCACGTACAGCTATTGCCAGGCTCCGACCGGCGGGCAGCGCAGCCCCTCTGCTACAGCTCCTCAAGGAGGAACAACCCCAAACCGAGGCAGGGATCACCGGGATGTG